AAAAAAAAAACATGATAATAAGAATCAGCGTTATCAAAATAAGAATAATCATCACTTAAATAATAATAATGATCAGCAGCAGCATAATAAGCATCAAAATAAAAAAACAACATGATAATAAGAATCAGCATAATCTGAATAAGAATAATCATCACTTAAATAATAATAATGATCAGCAGCAGCAGCATAATAAGCATCAGAATCAATCATCAGTTTCATATTTTACCCAACAAACTACCAAAAATTGCCCCATTCCAACACCATAAATTTGTATGGACTTGGGAAAATTTTAGTGCCGGCCAATTTAAAAACGGCCGGAATGAGTTTTAAGAAATATACCGCAGAGGACAATCATATAAATTCTAAATTCGACAAACAGCCGAATCAGCTGATTCAGGGCCTAAAATATACATCAGATTTCAGGGGACACACTTTTTAATTCGGTCGATAGAGTTAATAGATTTTCATAGCCAAAAAAAAAAAAAAAACCTATGGCAGGACGTAGCTCATTAAACAATAATGTCACTACATAACTTATACATTAATAATATTTATACCTTAATAAGTGTATAGTAAAAATTATCGACACAAAAATAGTAAAAGTTTAAACAATATTACTAAAATAATATAATTTAAAATAAATACCAATGTATCGGATAGAGTGATCTCATTAATTGACCGTTATCATCTTCAAAAACATTTCTACATTAAAAACGAATACATACAATATTAAATTCGGTACATACATTTCGGGGGGCGCACTTGGATTTTCGCGGAACACGCTTCGTGTCGGGGGACACGCTTTTCTGGGTCCAGAGCTGATTGTTATGTCCGTTACGATCGCGAATCACGAATTGAGATCGAATTAGAATCCAGAACGGATTATGTTTCATCAACGTTACACCGTCCGTGATTATTGGGCGTCTAGTAATATATATGTTATTATTGATTGACTAGAATTTATGTGTCATAAAAATTAAAAACCATCAAAGTAAAAGTTTGTCTTTTGAAATTCTTATCTGCAGCTTTTATGTACGCATGAATCACATTACGAAAATCAAATTTGTAAAAAATTACAAACACTTATTACCTTTGGTCCCAGGAAAGAAGGGCCTAAATCGTTTTTGTATAACTTTTCAAGTGCAAGCGAATTCAATTTTAAGAATTACTGAATGGTACACATAATTGCTAAATGATTACACAGTAAATATAACTCGTGAGTTTTTTTGTAAAAAAAAAAAAAAAAAATGAATATCAATTTTCAATACGATGTATGTTAGAATATATACATACACGCATGGTATTTAAACTAAAAACTAAAGGGCGAAACAAATAATACAAATCAAAATTATATAATAAGTATTATAATTATATAATATATCTATATGCATGCATTAAAATACGGTGGCGACATTAAGGGAGACTTATGATGTCATTAGCTGTGTGGTTTTTTTTTGGTGGGGGGGGGAAACGGTAAATCTTCTTTATATGTACATCCTGATCCTGTATACGTGGACAATACGGCGCGTATTATATATAGCCTTTTGAATGTAAGCGGGGAGGGGGGTAGAAGGAACAAAAAAAAAAAAAATCACGTATGTGGTAGGTAAATATACCTACTGTACGGCGATGTACGGCTATTCGGATGAGAGCGGTAGTCGTATACAGCCAAGTATATAAGAGTGTGTTTGAAATTGAAAACGAACGACGACGCGCACGTGATAGAAGATTTATGGGTTCGGTTTTGAGAGAAAAAAAAGTAGAGTAACGACGGGTATACTGTGTAGCACGTCCTAATCGCCGCGGACCTCTTAATAATATCAACAATTCGTCGTAGGTTATTATTATTATTATGATACCGGACGCAGGACATAATTATTATCTCTGGCCGTAAATCATGTATAGGTTAGATTAGGTAAAAACGTTATTTACACGCGCGGCGATTAGGGACGATAATGAATTTTTATGTAAATATCAATTTTTATAATAGACAAAAAAGAAAAAGAAAAGTAGATTTCAATGTACGCTCAGAGAGTAAGTGTACAGGAAAAAAAATATATATATATATATATAGGATGAAAAAAATCCGAAACCCGTCGACACGGTTTGTATAACGGGAATAATAAATAATAATAATATCCCCGTTCTTCCCATGTGCCCTCCGGTCGATCGTTCTTTGCACACCCATTTAATTTCATATACGCGCCGTCGACAATTAACGCGGTTAAATACCTGACGTAGTTGCGCACACATAAATTGTATACATCGATAAACAATAATAATATATTTTTATTATAGGTATACTAGTACTAATATTTACTTTTTTAATAGAGTAAAAATTATCGACATTATAATAATATTATTGACCGGTCGCCTCCTCCTCTACCTGTAAAACGCGACGAAATAGTAATCCATGCGCGGCTCGTTTGCCCCGATCGTAATATTATAATAGTACGGAGAGAGAATTTATACATAAGAAGGAAGGATAATACAATATTCATCACGACCGCGGAATATATTAACCACATATTTACCCCTCTCATCCGTGACAAATTTGATACATAAATTATCATTACCTAATAGAATAACTTTAAACGGGATAATATATTGATTTATTTTAATACAAAAAGGCCGCACGTCCTTGTCCGATTGTAACAACAAATATAACGATAAAAGGAACACGAAATACGGAAATAACAATTGGGAAAAAGAGAAAGAACAGTGGTACTTATTTATGACATGATCAGTTACACATCTATACATAAAAAACGTTATTGAGGGCCTATCCATTAGTATGAGAGAGCGTTGTCCAACTGGATAATCGTTTTCTTATAGTTACCTGACGTGGGTAATATCATATTGCGACTTTGCGTATATGATCTAACGTGCAAAATTTTCAAATGTATAGGCGTGCCAGCGTTATTAGTTCACTCGGTCACCATTTCTATTATACTTCAGTAACACACTGACGCAAAATGATTGCGTCCTACGATTCATGTAGGCATAGCGATAATAAGAACAGTAAGCTGCCTTGCCCATTAACGGTTCGTGCGTAGCGAGAAGAAACTTTAAAAGAGCTGTGCAACGTGTACGCGAGCAGGGACACGGAAACGTATATTACGCTCAACAAGGCAAGGTGCGAATCAATTTTACCGTCGCAGAGTTTGTGGAGAAACGACAGTGTACACGCCAAGGAGTCCTTTTTTTTATCCGAGAAAAGTTGAATCAACAAGTTAACCGGTTTTAATATTGTAGGCTGCAGAGCGGTATTATTGACCATTAACGATTTATATATTATATTATACTATTTTGTAATACGATTTTTTTTTTATTTTTGGCCCTCGATTTTCACAACGCACACTTGACGCCCCTAGAAGCGAGCGGACAGCCGTTATACGAACGATAAAAATATTATATTATCGAGCAATTTAGTTGTCGTTTTATTTCGTATTATTCAGCGCTAAATGGCAATTTAAATGTCGGACACGATGTAGAAATCTCCCCCGTATTATTCGCAACGCATAAGCTTTAAATCGAGTTGCTCGACGTGATCCTATTTAATACGAGGGTCGCGGCAACAGGCGAACCTTGGGTCCGAAACTAGACCGCGGAAGTTGCAGAAACCTGGACCGGAAAAATGCTATATTTATACACGAACTCAAAACCAAATTGTTTTCAACCATTCATCGGTAACCCATACGCGTTGTATGTAGGTATATTTGACTCTACATACATACAAGATTATAATATGTTAGACCCGGATTCTCCAACATTTTCTGATGAATAAAACATATCGATCAATGACCTCTTCCCATCTCGAAGAAACACCATAATTCGACACAAAAAGTACAATGTGTCTGCAATTTATAATGTAACTTTGAATTCTTTATTACTACATTTAATAGTTTATTAAACATTTTTTAGGATTTTATATGGAGTTTGATTCTCGATGTATTTTTGTCTTTGTTTTGTAATTTTGTTTTTTTTTCTACCATATTGCACTAGAATAATAATACATTTTTTTTTTTCTAAAATTTCACTCGTCTCCCCGTAAACTTATAAATTTAATGTGGTTGCAGTAATTCTTTCCGTGCAACTCCATTGCTGTGTCCTCCGAACAGAGGATTTTAATAGTGAGACATTTGCGTTTTATATTTTGGTATTTAATATTTCGTTTTGAACCGTCACTATAGCATCCAATAAGTAATAACATAATACATACGAAACAAAAATATAAATACAGTACATGTGAAACAAGTAATGTTTTATTAAAATTCAAATATTCTATTTAAAATTGACTTATAATAGCATTGATGTAAGTTTATATAGACTATTCGATACTTTGGTTATCGTCATATACACGAAAATACGTTCATGCGGTTGTATAAACCCTCCCCTATTCGATTTCGATGACGCATAAGCAACTTTCACGAGTGTAGTTCTCCGATAAAGTTCAGTCAGTTTTCAAACAAAAACAAACCGATCAATTCGGAAATATTCCCTATATATAATAATGTATATATAAATATGAAAGTATACCCTTAGGTACCTATACAAATATTAGTTTTATTATATCATCGCCCCAAGTATTGAGAACTGCACACTGTTTATACTGTCCGTCCTCGATTTAATATAATAATAATAACAATAATAATAATAATAATAATAATAATAATAATAATAACAATAATAAAAAAAATGATCTTCCGAAAACACAATTACAAAAAAAACTTTTATTGCGAGAAATGTCGACGTTTTGTTATTATTTTTGTCGTTGACGTGAAAACCAGCAGATGTTAAATTAAAAAAAAAAAAAAACTCTATATCGCATTGCGACAGAATTCACGTCGAGTCCAATGTTATCACGTGGGCAGTACGTCTCCGTATTGAAATTGATGGATTTTCAGCGGTTATAAGTACCAACATTTTAAACGGTTTTAGAATTAAAATACGTTAATTATTTTTCATTTTTCTTAAGGAACATCATATGCGTTTCATAAAATATCAATTGATTACACTATCGTAGGAAAACTACGATAGGTGCTCTGAGAAATTTGTCTGTTTTATTATAACAAGGCGTTTAATCTCTACAACCACGTTGAACGACGTACTTTTTTTCGGCTCTCCGGGTTTTTAAACATTTATGAAATAAATAATACTTATAGTGACGATTGTAATGACATGAGGAATTACTCGAATATTTTTGAGTAGGTTTAATTGTCATTTGTTCAATAACCATAGTCGTTAAAATTATCCTCTTAACGCGACCGGTCTTTAAAGACTCGTTTTTGACACGAATTTATTAATCGCGCTGTCAATCTTGTATAATTTACTCAGCGTATTGATGATAAACGGAAAATCAAAACTAAGCGAAACATATTGGTTGATGAATTCAATAAAATGTATAAGATTCGTTTTAAAAATTATCCAGTCACGGGTGGAGACGAGGGTGATTTTTCAGCAATCATTATTATTATTATTGACGTTATTATCGTTTATAAAATATGTACATAGTATAACATTTGGGTAATATAACGTTTAAATAAAATATCGAACAAAGAAAGGTCGCGGAGGGAAGGATGTATCCCTCTCCCCGTCCACCGTTCACCGCCCGTATCTTTCTGGTATACTTACCGTTATATTTTATTATATTACGTCCGAAGCCCGGTAATTCTGCAGGGTGTTTAGAAACAGCCGCCCGCAACCCCTAGCACATAATAGCAGAACGGTTGTTAATATTTTGACGGACGTGGGCGTAGGCATATAGAGGTGTACATGACGTGTGCAGTAAGTGTGTAGTATACTCGTATGTGTTCCAACATATATACTGAACGTGACGAATCATTTTTTTCACCCTCTCGCGAGCGGGTTGTCGTGGTGGCACGGCGGGGACCGCGTGGCACTGTGAGCGATTCACAGGAAGAGAGAGGAAAAAACCCCGAAAAATACTAACAACGATAAAAACTCGAGAGCAAAATAATATTATTATCTCGATATTGTACTACAAACTCGTCTTTTACGCTGTGGTATTGGGAAGTGCTTAAATCGAGTACGCCATCTGGTGTCAAGTGTCAATAATTTTTACTAGAAAGGAACTGGTGAACGCTTGCCGACACATTAATTATTGTTGTTTGCTTATTATCGTTCATTAAATATTATTACGCTTGGTGATATTCATCGGATAAAATTTAAAAATACACACAACTTAAAAAAGAAGAAAAAAATGTACATTTGATTTATTTATTCTTTTTATTTTTTGCTGAAACCCGAGAAATAAAAACGAGTGGCTTATTTTGAAAATATTAACAGATTTGTAATAATAATAATAAAACAATCCATATTGAACGAGAATCAATTTGTGCTACCAACTAATGTTGCAATATTTGTCCACATGCTCGAAACTGATATTTTCCAATAATATATACGTCAGTGGCACCGAAGTAGTTTAAAAATTCTCGGACAAAAAAGGCAATACTGTATTATATTGGTCTTCTTTGGGTGTAATATACTACATTACTCATAGTATACTATTATATTTTCTACAAACATTACTCGTACTATGTATATTTCCCAACATGATTTTGATTTTGATCGGTATGGTTAGGTTGGAACGAAGTAGTGGCTTTAACAGATGGAGTCTGGAGTTAAGTTTCTTACGCTTGTCTTTAAGATGAAGAGACCAGGTTAAGCGCCTGTGAAAAGTAAGACAAGGGTATTGTATTCAACATCATTCGAGTGAGGAATGATGATGTTGTTGATAGATAAGGCTGAGCAGTTATGAGGTCTGAGTTTTCTAGTTGGTGAACCATTGTGAAAAAGTATTTAGGTGATTTTTTAGTTGTTGAGACGCAATAGTGTGGTCGGAAGAAGCTGATAATAAACTGGTATTATCAGCATATGTTCCGATGGTGGTATTTTTAGAGGTAGGCAGGTCCGACGTATATATGGTATATTGGAATGGAGCGATGCCTTGAGGGATGCCAGCAAAGATAGGATATTAATTTGAGTGTTGTAGGCTGTGACGAACGTTAAATAAGCGGTTTTCAAGATAGGTTTTAAGTATTAGGTATAAAGGAGCTGGAAAAATATTTTTAAGTTTGAAGAGTTTATCATGCAAGACGGTGTCGAAGGCTTTCGCAACAACCAAAAAAACTCCGGCGCAGTATTTTTTTGTTTCGAGTGCTGATGAGATGATGTCCGTGACCCGGTGAAGTTAATGAGTAGTGGCATGGTGTGAGCGGAAGCTGTGAGGGATACTGTTTTTTGCTTGTGCTATAGTGGTGATACGCTAAAGAATGATTTTTTCGAAAATTGTTCCCAAAACCGGTAGTAAGCTAATAGGCCTGTAAGAGGAGGAGTTTTCCGGAGGCTTACCAGGTTTGAGAACTATTATTGTTATTGAAATGTTATTTATTTCTATTTACTATTTTTCTATTTTTATATCTTACAATACAAATAGTTGATTGATTGGTCTAGTCACAATAACGCATGTTAATTTTGTTAGTTTATAACATTTCACTAAAAATGGGATTTTTACCATAGCCGATAAAATATATACTAGGTAATTGACTATCACCGGTAATTGAAAAATTGCTGTTACTTAACCAAATCTAACCAGAGAAAATTGACGTTCCGTTTTCACGGATTTTCGATATAATAGATATGCTCGCGAAATCCCCAGTACGTGCGTTTCGGCGACCATTTCCGAAATTCGAAGACACGATATTACATGTGCGTGAGCGTGCGGCTATTGCGAGTGCGTATGTAACGGGGCTAGGGGAGAGGGCAGGGGGTGGCGGGAATGTGCGTTTTCGAACTGTGTTTGTTCAGCTGCACCGTCGTCGTCGAGTACTCGCCGTCAAAACGGGGTAATAAGTGCATTGCTTCGGTCGCCGTCGCACGTTACGGATAAATGCGTATATAGGCGCGAGACGACAAAATGAAAGAAAAAAAAAAAAAAAGACAGGACCGGGGGAAAAGAGAGAAATTCAATAACATAAATACACTTTGCGGTCTATTGTTAAAAACTGTCGTCCGCGATAGTGGAAAATAAGGGGACGAAATCACGACGTATATAATAATTGAATTAGACGGGCGCGCGCGCGCGATGCCGTGATGTGCGGGCAGCAGCGGGTACAGTGTGGAGTGGATAGGTTGTTGTGAGGAGGAAACGATGAGGGAGGGAAAGGTATGTAACGCGCGTTTTATTACAATCACAATACGCGTATACCTAAGCATATATTATCCTTTTTTTTTTTTTTTTTTATTCCTCCTCGAAATTATTATTTATCGAAGGGTATACGGAGGAAGAAAAAATACCCAGGTATATAGGTACGCAACAGCGCTAACCGTCGGAATCGTTTTCGTCGACAATAAACTATAAACGTAATATTATGTGTGTGTGTGTGTGTGTGTGTGTGTGTACGACGAGCGCACGAATTATTATTATAATTTTATCTAAATATAATATTATTATCGTATATAATGCAATACGGACGCAACGCGGGTTGTATACTTATATGTATAATTTTTTTTTTTTTTCTAAACAGTGTTTAAAAACACACGACTGCCGCGCAGACCGTGTATAACATTATAACATGTTACAATATTATACGCGTGTCGTACACCTATGGGCAATAGGCTAGTCAACGGCGGCGGGGGTTCGGGTCACGGGCGATTTTTCATTTTTAACGATGTGTGCCCGTGCGGGATACCAGCCGGATATTTTTTTTACGTGCGCGCGTTGCGCCATCACACGGTCGTCGTCGTTTTCTTCGCCACCGCCGCCGTCCTCGTATCTATAGATCGTATATCGGGCCCACCACGACCGCGTATACCTGTATGTAGTATAAATATTATTATACGATAATATTATACACGCGACAACGAAAACACAACGTGCACCCGACAGACGCGCGTTTTTTTTTTTTAAAAAAAAAGGACGCGAGCGCACGAGGCAGTTTCTACCGTATTTTGTTTTTTTTTTGTTTTTTTTTTTTATCCGTGGGCGAGCGTCGGTTAATATTCATACGCAGTTAACGACGCGCGACGTTTATTAAAAATCGAGATTCGAGCGTTGGGTACACGAGAAATAAATATAATCGGGAGGGGGAGAAACGTGAAAAGCGACAATTTCGATTTTTTTTTTTTGGCTTTGCCTTGCACACTAGCTTTCGAAATTTTAACCCATTTCGCTTATGTGGCTGTTGTAATACAATTTAAACGACACGACATACCTTCATCAGTGATACATTACGGTATCCGCAGTGCTTGATTTGAAGGGGGGGGGCAGGGAGGTACTGAGTACCTCAACTAATTTTTGGGATATTCTAGCGTATACCTACTCCTTGTTTAAAAGAGAATTCATGGGACGGGTTATTATTTAAGGTTATCTGTTTTCATAAAACTATTCAACTTAAATTTTTGTGTTAGATATCCCATATATGATACGCATGATAATTGATAAGTAGCTATCAATTATAATCATTAATCGTCTGATAAACCCAGGTGACCAGTACCACTGATCTATATTATAGTGTTATCAATGAACAACATGATGCTATTTCAATTTTCCTTTTTAAACACCCTTAGGACTGTCTACGTATTATATTATGTATAATCAATATTATACATAATATATAACTAATATGATTATGTATTATGTAATCATTATGCAATAAATGATATTAAACAAATAAAAACACGCATTACTCAATGCGTACACTCTTAAATAATGTTATTGGATTGAATTTCGCGTTTTTCGAAAGTCTTTATCGGGAACCGATTGAAGGGTTCGATGTAATAGTCCCAATAACAAGGCAAGTACGAAATTACTCTTCGATAATTTTCTCTTTCTGTCGAACGATTTCGAACGGTGGGACTTGTCTTGCTATTGCGCCGAGCTCTTCGATTAGGATGTCAATTTCGAAGTGCGCAGTTCGGATGCAGCCGAAGTTTCGTTGCCCGGCAGCGGCGGAGGGGTCATTCGGACCTGAGATTAAAACTGTTGCTCGGGTAGGAAAAACAAAAACAAAAAAAAAAAAAAAACCGCCGACCGACCGCGCGGGAGAATACGCGGGGGGGGGGGGGGGGGCGACGGACCTTTTTGTAATAATTAGATTTTCGCGGAAAACGCCGTGGCCGTCGTCGTCTTTTCAATGGCGGCAATGATTGCGCGCAATTTCGCGTCCTATTGTCCGCCGCCGAACCGGACGGCGAAATTGAATTTCCGTTCTTTGGCGTCAGCTATATGCGTACAATATTATAACCCGACGCGATGCGTTTCCTTCTTTTCGCAGTCCGGCCATCATCCATCGCGTATTGTACACATAATATATTATTGCTCGTGCAATATAATATTAAAATGCGCCATACGGAGAGAATTACAGACCCGTCACCGTCACGTCGAACCGGAAAAGCGAAATGTCGAATAATAATCGCAGACAAAATATAATTAACGAATAGTATTAGAAACATTAATTTTTTCCCCTATTACCGCCTAATAAACCGAATTTCGACGCGATGATGGCTCGTCCGCAGTGATGACTTCCTCCCCCATTCTCCAAAACCATAAGTTGCACCACTGCAGCGGGTCAATTCGAGAGTATCGCGAATGGCTAATGGCAGATATCATCCATTAGTAGTGCGCACTCGGAACGCGTTTCGGAAATTATTTGTCGACGCGGTTTTTTTTTCACGGGGATTCCGGTAAACCGATCGCGGTTATCGCGGTCGTGACGCGTCGGCGAGTGGCGCGAAGAACGACCGGGGTCCGCCTGCCCTTAAACGGGCCGAGATGTATCCGTAAAAGCGGCTGCGACGGAGTGTATAATACAGGTACGCGACAAGAGTAAGCAAAACGGCCGTGCTATACGCAGAATTCGTTTGAATTTACAATAATAAATATTGTGCACACGCACGGGACACGGCACAGGTACAAATAAAGCCGGACGGACGCGGCGAAAAAAAAAGTCTAACGAAATCCGCGTATAAAAATAACGAATATAAAACCAACGCACGCGTCGTGACATGGCGAGCCGCCGCGGAGGCAGGTTTTTGCGTCGTCGGACCGGAATCCGTAAAGGTTTATACCATTATTGTACGTGATTAATTTCTCAATCGATTCCGGCAGTCTCTTTACGATTATTCGCTAAATACTATCGATTTTACTTATTAATAAACAATGTATAGGTTATACTTGGCCGCCGTCCGGCTCACGAAAAGAACGATATAACTGTTATTTTCGTCGGTCGCATACGAGACTAAAACCGCACGCGCTGAACTACTATAAAAAATAGCGGCGCGGCGGTTGTATTTCGGTTTTGAGGTTTTTTGGTGGGGGGGGAATTTCAAATCCACGGAGCCGTTGTGGAACAAATTATTGTTTGTCTTTACAGGCTACTAAAATGTAAAGTGACGAAAACCTGAAAGGGCGAAAATGTGATTTACTCGGGTTTATGTATACATATATAATACAAGTTCAATAGCTTTATTGTTATTATTTTATTCTGTTATTATCACATTATTATCTATACAAAAGGCGTATTATAACTAGAAATTGAAGACATTGAAGTCAACACATATTATGTGCGAACGAATTTTTACGGCTAAAAAATATTTTCTTACGCATATATATTGTACATAAATGAACACACACACATATATTATGTAAAAAAAGGCTTTTGTAAAACTTTAAGCAATGATTTCATGGCTTCATGATGGTTTTACTATCATTTTTTTTTTTAATTATATATTTTAGTCTATACACTGTCTGCTGTCTCCATACTGGTATTTATACCCAAAAATAAAGTCGGCGTACGTGCAAAAAAAAAAAAAAAACCAACTTATAAACCCTGAATTTTATATTAAAACGTATACCCGTACACGGTTTAGTTGCACTATTATTATATATGTCCGATATTTTACCTACCCATTACCTCATAATATATACGCTTTAATAACGCGTCCGACCGGGGCGTTTGGGCAAAAAGCGCCTTTCCGGCACATAATTTAATATAGTAATAATAATCGACGATAAAATACGGCACATGTATATTATATAAACGCGTGATTCATCATTCGGCTTGTTACGATGCAACAGCAGTAGGTTCGGACGCGTGAATTTATTAACGTTTTACGAATAAAAAAAAAAAAAAAAAATTCCAAACCCGTTTGAACAAACACCGGGGGTAGGTAAACGCTCGCGCAAAATAAAATATACATTATAAAATATTATACACGAGGTAAACTGCAGCTACGAAAACATTATTAATAAGCCCATATAAGATCACATTATATACGAAAAGATTATATAGCGACGTCCTACGACAAGATATTTCAAAAACTTCTATACGATATAATTAGTATTCGGGTAATCTCCTATAACACGGTTATAATATACGCTATACTGCAGTGTAACGTAATATTGTTTAAAATGTACACCTACCTACATAAATTATAAAAACTATAATATGAGTCGACATCAAACTACATAATATTTATAATTATATATGTTTTATACACGATTAAAGAGCAAAATTAAATTAATAATCAATGTATTATATATACATACTATAGTAATGTTTAAAATTAAGGTACAAATCTCAATGTGCCGTACAGATTATATTATATAAAACAACTGGACAGCCGATCCTACGAGTAAATCTGAAGCTTGGCAGCCGTATCGACTTTCCAACGAAAACTGTTATTACGCGATTTTTTTTTTTTTTTTTTTCTGAACCCATTTTGAATGGTCAACACAAATTGTTACTTGAAATTGCTAATGGGGAGATTTAAGGAGCTCATTATAATTAAGAAAGTCAGAAAAAACAAAAATGTTTAGTTTTAAAAATGCAGAATTCGAATTTGTTTAGTTTTGCCCACGCGAACATTTGTAAAAAGTGATTTTACTACCTACAGACTACAGTTATCGCTGCGGAAGTTGAAAAAAATGTTAAATGCTTAAGTTATTATAAACCAATAAGACAAACTTGTTAATACCATAAATTATTTAATACGTATTATAACATGTAATTATATGAAAAATATTTAAAATTGATCGCAGTTTGTTTCAGATATACATTATAAACTAGATTGATAACTGCCGTATTATCGACACTAATACTATTGGTTGAAGCTTCACGATACCCATTTGATTCGAGGCTCGCGGCTTTAATCATAACATACTTAGATATATGCTGTGACAACTGTGTAATCTGTATTTTTACCATTGTTAATAACGATTGAACCTGTGCGTCTTATCATCAGTTAGAAATCTAGTTTATTATGATATAATGTACATGTACTATGTATAATAATATGTTTGTGCTAATTGCAAAATGCGCGGTATAAACAAATATTTCGTGGTCATAAATCAATAGGTACAATTTTATATCACGATATATGGCTGCCGACTTGATAAATATGTCTTACAACGAGACTCTATTGAATAATAGTCGTTTTATAAATTTACGACGGAATCTGCTAATATGTACAACCATATTACCGCCGTTATTTTTATAGCACACATACGAACTACAATAATATTACTGTTACTTAACTTTGTCGGATAAGTTTACTGTATACAGACGAGAAATATAATAATTGTATAAGTTTACGCGCGTTATTTGGAAAAGGTAATTTGTGTACGAGTTTACATACGCCCTAAACACAATGTACCTACTTCTATATAGGTACCTACGATAGTATTATTCACCGTACTCACTAATTTCATTAAACGAGTAGGTTAGTAATAGGTGTCTAATAATATAATACTAGCATACTTTACTCCGCCGACATAATAACGGGCAATTTTAAATAAGCGTGTATACGATCAGGTAAATTATAGGTGAGTATACATTGTCTACAGTATATGGTATAGTAAAATAAGTAGGTAGGTACCCATAAAATATCAGATTTTAAACCAACTGATCGGCAAAAAATTGTCGTTTTCGATTTGTTTTTATAAGGCATAAATCCGTCCCGTTGCTATAGTACCTATATAGTAGTAGTATTATAAAAACCGCGTTGAATGGAAATTCGTTAACTATATTGTGTTAGATATAGGTAAACTACTGGGCGACGCACGAATAATAATAATTGAAACAAATCGTGAGTACCAATACAATTAAATATTGATACGTTACAGAAAAAACGACTTAGGGCGTGCGAGAATCGAAAAAAAAAACAACACATATTAAATTATACAAATAAGGTCCGGCATACCTACGCGTAAACGATTTTACATAAAGATTAAACGATCGGTTATTTTTGCGTACACGAATATTTTAGCAAACTGCAGTGTTGTAAAATCCAACGACGACAATATTATAAATTATAATATATTAATCTCGTTTAGTAACTATGTTTGTTTATTTATTGATTTTTTTAGATAATATATAAATAGTATTTTTTTTTTTTTTTTTTAAGTATTACCTACCTGGTCGTTATAACGACATACGTATTATAATATATTAAAATACAAATTTTTAAAATAAAAAATACTTACAATAAATTACTTATACCTACGATTTAAAAACAGTTCAAGATTAACAAATAAGATATTAGTTTTGTAAAGACGTGTGTTTCCCCTTTCTCTTTGGAAAACATTTAAGGTTTGTTAAAAATATTCCGTTTTTTTCACGGCCTACGTTAAAAGGTGCAAAATTTCTATACGACCAAATTTTATTTGAAACATTTATCGACATTTTCGACAGTTTATTCCTACAGGTTATCTATTTTTTTCGGTGTTACATTGATAACAAGAAAATATTACGATTAATTTCTTATATTATGTTCAGAATTGTTTTTCGTTTACAATGATTTATCGTTACATACGTATATATATTCTACCTGTTTAACTATTCACATATACCTATTAAGGAATTTTTCTTTTAATACTTACTAAAAACTAGTGATTTCGCGAAATGTGTGTACACGTCGTAAATATAGTTTGTAAAAAAAACCTATGAGTTTCGATTATTCGAATCACCGAATTACATATCGAAATACTAAAGACAGATGTTAGTAAACTATATTGAAAAATTTAATAAATCAAGTTTATTTTAAATTATAAATAATGTTTGATTTTCTATAGTCTACGCGTTAATATACGTTTTACTTTCAAACGAAATACTTACTACTTTATTAAAATGATTTTCACATCACGAGTAGATAATTAATTTTTCCATCGAGTTTGAGTATAGAATAAAATTAATGATATTGGTTCCGGCCGTGGACGGAACTAATACTGCACAGAGGGTAATGGGGTCGCTGTAGTTCCGGTATCCCAAACACCCTAAAGCAATTTTTTTTTAACACCGCGTATGTACCGTAAATATATTAAGTACATTAAAATATTTTTTCCATTAATCTTTTTTTATTCGTCAACAGCTTCGACATAATACATCTAAACGCAGTCCACCATCGCTAAAACTGCACGCGGTCCAAACCATAATTAAGCTTTTTTCTATATCAAAGCCATCATGTGTACCTCCTTCTTCACCATCATCCCAACTATTTAGGGTCGACAAATCATAATATATATGTACCTTTATTATAGGTATATTTTTTTAATAACAAATTATTAATAATCGTACATTTATTATTATTATTATTATTATTATTTTTTTTTTTTAGAAACACAATCAATATGACCCCCTGTCATATGCAGCAAAAATCCTCTGGGAAATCAACATTTTATATATATATAGCATAAAAAAAACCACCGAACTCGGACCTCTATAACGATTAGTTTTTAAAAAAAAATATGTTTTTTCAAGGGTATTACGTTTTGCAGCGAAAGGCTTACCTTTGGCGGATTCCTCGGGCGATAAATAAACGAGTTAAAAAAAAAAAAATGTATGCACCTAACTCTTTACGTGGATTTTTTTTTTTTTTCACTTCTACGCCGTCCCCGATTTACAAGCCGTTTATTGAGTTTCTCGTTTCCATTTCCTCGGATGTTTCCGGTCTGTCGGTTTCCATCAACGACCCCTTCTCCTCCCTCTTTCGCCTATTCCTATGCTGTTCCCTTCGCGCGGCCCAGAGGTGGTGCTGATGCTGCTGCAGTCTTCCGCCTCGAAAGCACTATGCGGTACATTTAAAATCCAAATTGAATTTAATAAACGAAACGTAGCTGCAGGTACTCTGTGACGCCGAACCATATAAAATTAATCGTATTGTCTACCGCCACGGCCACCTCGTGAAATTATATCGTATAATAATAAATGTTGTACACAATATACTTCGCTAGTTGTTACTGCCGTTATAATAATAATAATAATAATAATAATAATAATAATAATAATAATAATAATAATAATGATGATAATCATATTTAAAACGTATAAACATAATAGCGGCGAGCGGCTTTTTATGCGCATCTCCCGTCGCGCCAGATTAAAATCGACTTATGTACTGTTGTACATGTGCACACACTATAGGTACATGTATATATAATATTATTATTATTATAACAAATGGATTTTTGCCGCCGTCGATCATTGTTCTTACAATATATACATATTATATTATCGTTTCGTGTCCAATAATAATTTATTATAATATCGATATCAATAACCGCGACGATCCGCGTGATTGACGGGTCACGACCATCACATCACGGATTATTAAGACGATAATACAGGATGTGTCGAACGAGCCGAGCCCGTTATCGACATATAAAGTATATTATAACGTTTTCACGGTTCGAAATATTAAAAAAAAACCATAGATGATAGATAATTATATAAAACAACTATTATAGATAAAAGGTAGTATGATGTTTATATAGGTAGTTTATCTGGAGCTCTGGAGATCGGCAGCCGTATTGTATTAATACTTGACGATAAATACGATAATTCCGGAGTTTAAGAATACTGTTGTGGCAAACAATTCTTCGGCATCACGTGTGTAGGTAATTTCATTTTAACACTTTGCGATTTACGCGTTCACCGAGTTGTTGTATTATTCGTGATCGAACAGTATTTCGGCATTAGCGACCGGGGGTGAAGGAAACCCCGCGGAAGGCGGAAGTCAGATGTTGCTATAAATCGGCTGTGGCGACGGTGGCTGCGAGCTATTTTGACGATGATTGATTGAAACGCCAAGTCTTGCACACACTGTATAAACGTACGTGTGCATATATTCCCCCTCCATAGTGTGTTTGTAGCGCGGAGATGACGGACCCTTTTCTCCCGTCAAAATGCCGCGCGGGCAGGCGGCTCGAAACTTCTATATATTTTATTATTATTATCGCCATCATACTCATCCGAGAGCGGAAAACGGAGACGAGGGAAATGTGCACGAGTAAAAGATCGCGTATATTATATTGCAACGCGGAGTCTGTTTTTGAGCACGTGGCCATGGTAACCGTTGCTCGAAGAAAAATATAGGTATAATCGAACAAGTCTAATATTGCAGTATATATATATATAGGGTTAACATAGTACACCAACTCAAAGGATTATTATTTTAGTACAATATAGTAACTACACGACACGTCGAATAAAAAAAAAAAAAAAAAACGGTCAAGTGACATAAATAATTCGCGGTGTTTTTTGGTGTTAAAATCTCTACATTTGTTATTTTAAGTATAGTACCTACTTAAAATATTTATGATTTGAAATTGAACGGTGTGGTTAAACATTTCATCCGTACACTTTAACAAGTTAAACCTAATACTAATGCGAGGTAAGCAGATAGATATTATAAAATATAAATCAGTGGCATAATCATAAGTAATTTCAAGTTTTGTGCCTAAACATGAATAAACAATTTTTTCTAAGATAAATTTATTTTAAATTGATCCCGTGACGCAAATCGTAAGGATTTAAAGTGGCTATCAACTGCCTGCTAATAATTAAAAATACCTACCATGTTATAGGTAATAATTTGCATTGAAAATAAAATCGTTACATTAAAAACGATACAAATTACAATTAAAATTTTGGCAGTTGCCCTGTCTCCGACACCTAATAGCCGCGTCATCTATATAAATGCAACGATAGCGAATCTCAAAAAAATTTCCGAGTTTTCCTGAAGTTATACGACGACATAATACACTATTTATTTTAAACAAAACCACTAGAATTGGTATGTATACTTATTCATTTTTTCTTTTTTCTCGCGACACACGGAGGATTTACCACGGCAATAAAGTGATCGGAAAATATCACAAACACTGCAACATAGACGCATTGTTAGTACGGCGTTTTTCCACTTTCACTTTAGCCGCCACCTTGGAAAATGTACGACCGCCGCTGAGCCGTTTCACGATAAATATTTGATTTTCGTAATTTGTGTAGGCATAATAACCGTACACGTATCAGTACAATATTACAATATAGGTACCTACATAAAATTATACCTAGGTACATACTCCGGTTCGGTCGATAATATTTATAAGTATTATTTTATGTTGTTCAAACTGCTGTAGTAGGTATTCCCAGATGTGGTATTTTTTTAAATTTTTTTTTATGTATAATATACCTATTCAGTATTCATATTTAATCGAAATATTCTTTCGTATACACGATACACGTAAAATGTACACGTACGGGTTTTTTTTTTTTTTTTATTATTATTGTATACGTGCATTTTTTATGTGCGTTTCTATCCACGTCATCAAGAAATCACTCTAAGAAATACAGAATAAAAGACACAGCGCGCATATTATTTGGGATGCATCTTACTATTGCACAGTATAGTATAGGTATTGTGTCCCAAAGACAAACGGAAAAAAGATCTAATTGCGTCCCGAGTGTTTAGGTATCTAAATATAAACTTTAGAACACCTTATATCCCCGTTGTGTCCGTCCGTCCGTACAGTCGCTAGTACGCAGTTACGGTTGTTGATTTGGTTGACAACGAGATATATACTACAATATTGTTCGTAACATTATTATTAATTTAAATATAAATTCGTAACATTATTATTGCGCGTCATTGTATGTTTTGAAAATGTACGGAATGATATTTTAAATCGCGACTAATTAATAAACATTAGACGTGTCAGCTAAAAATTGATTTTCGCCATTATTGCAGATCACGGTTCCCAGACATGACGGAATTAAATATAACAAACGTTGCGCAAGTCTACAATAAACAATAATTGTCCGATGAATTATAACAAAATAAAGAGAGAAAAAAACAAAACGAAACAAAACAGGTACCGATTGCATAAATATTCCCGTTTTCCGACGTTGCCCATTTCCCCTTTAATTGTTCAATTATGAACCTTGAAATGCACAAACTATAGACAAAGTCTATTATATAGAGAAATCATCCATTGCGCCCGGTTGGAACAAGATTTCTGGTTCAAAAAATAGGTTATATTCATAAAACATCATAATAAAGTTACCTATTTCATTCGGAATTTAATGTCACGGCGAAACGAACAAGAACATTTAGGTACCTATACGAAATTCGATAAATCGCAGTATTGAAAAATTAACTATCGAGATGGAATTTGCAGGTTTCTTCCGTGCGCATGTTTATTTAGTTTCCCCGTGGCTGATGCGTTTTCAAGAAGCAACTTGTACATTGTTATCCGCCCACTTACCGATATTCCTCGAATATTTTTCGAATTATTTTTGCGAAATTAGTAGCAGACGTCACCTACTAATATTTAGCTGTGTACCCACGCCACCAAATCGTAACCAAAAAAAAAACAACCCGAAAAGCAACCCGTTCCTCGGAGACAGACTGCATTCGTTTTACCGCTGGACGTGATAACGGCAGCTGAACGACGCCCGACGACACTTTCAATCTCGAAAAACGCCCACGGGACCGTTTCCCCGCAACAACATTGGGCTGCGGCCGCAGCGGCATCGTCCACCGGGTCCGTATTGTTGTTGTTATTGTTATTATCGTGTTATACAGGTAGAGGTGCCCCCTCCCCCCCCGTCTAATATAACGTTGTCTGCGCGTCGTCAGTGTCCATGCGGGGCGACGGTCGTTTATTATCGCGGCGGCGACGACATTGTTATTCGGGAACGTACAAATTGCGAATTGCGTAACCGTCAAAACCGTACACCGAACTCGGATCGACCCGTTCGACGTAATAATAATAATAATAATAATAATAATATTTATATTATTATTATTATTGTGCATTATACACACTGGCCGTGCCTTCGCGATTCGAGAAACGTAAACCGGACGACGGGATACTTGTCCAAATACGGCGAGATTCGCGTCTACCCGTCGCGCGCCATCGCCGGGCCTCTCGCCGATGTTTATTTTAACGATACGCGTCGACGATAATACCGTCGTCGCGGGTGCGCAGATTCGCGTTTTACATATTATTATACGGCGAAACGGATTATTTTTACAACATACGGCACACGTAATAGTAATAATACCATTGCCGGGCGTGTCGAGTTGCGAAGACCGTTTAAAAATTACATCCAGAAGGTAATTTTTCTAGACAAACACACTTGTCGACGTTATGAAACGATGAGAAAACAACAGTCACCCCGGTCGAAAATCGATCAAATATATTATTGGGAAATAATCAATACGCGAATCGCCCCGTACGAGTATACATTATGCATGTGTCCCCGCCGTATACAGTAAGTGAAAACTGTCTCTGCGGAACGCGGTGGGCCTCGATTTAATGATTTCACGTCACAATTTGCCAGTTTTTCTTATTCATTGGGAAAACAACAAAGAAAATTAAAACAAAATTACACTTTCTATACATTCGAATTGGAATAAAAATTCTATAAGAAAGTAATCGGAGCGAGAATTTCTGGGAGAAACAACGTTGTTTGCTGACGCGAAAAACATAATAAATCCTAAACAAAACCGATACATTCCTCGTTTCGTTCAGAGTCTGAAAAAATGTGTAAAGAAATACGGACTAATTCCGTCGGCTGTACAATTACCGTTGAACCGCCGTCTCAGCAGTCTAAATGTCCCCAAGTCTGGAGAGGGGTCGGCATTCTTTCCCCCACCCCTCCCATCCTCCTCCATCCCCCCCCCTCCCGGCCGTGCCGATGATTACGCCGTTGATATTGTTGCGAGCGCACGACCGTACCGTCGAACGGATCCGAGAACACAATACTACGTTGCGATAACGGCAAACCGCTGCCGCCGGAGTTGGGTATACGCATTCATTTGTATAAATATACAGGTGGGTACCGTACATGGGTTATGATAATGTTACAGTCGCGCATGCGGCGTATGAATTATGGATTCGTTTGTACACATCGCCACGGAACGGTTAATACTACACCGCCGTATTGATGTTACATTTTAATGGCCCCGTATACATTATAAATATTATAAGAACGCCCGGGGGTCCCGCCGTATGCGTACGGGTACACGCGTACCTATCCGTGCGGTGCCCGTGCGTTGCTGCGGCGCCGTTCTATCGGGAAACAATGGGCGAATAACGCGAACGTTATAAATATTATTGGGACGCGCGATCTGTGGATCAGATTCGCAACGGGAAATCTCGACGAATCGTAAATTTTATTATCGCTATGTGTGCAACGCACCGCAATGCTGCCGGCGCATACGGCGTATACGGGAAACGCGCTTTACGTTCGCGAGGCGTGTACGATATGACGATAATAATAATAATAATAATAATAATAATAACAATGTTACACTATCCGACCGCGGTTACCTGGAGCAGCGACACGCTAACCACGCGCGGTACCGTACGAAACGATTTTTTAAGCGATTAAGAAAAAAATGTATGTATACAAAACCGTATAACACGAACTGTGTGGTACAATAGCGACACGAAGTAAACAATACTGTGCTGTACGACGCGTGTCGATAACATTGAATTACAACGCAAAAATGACACGTCGTTTGCGCCAAAATTAACGTTTTATACTTGTAGGTATTTAAATTTTTTAAAAATTGTCAATAACCGATAAAATTTACATACAAATAAATGAAAATAATTATAGTTTTAATACATCGGTTGATTTTTTTCGATCTTTTAAAACATCAGATATTAAATTTTGGCGCTTTTGTACGATACAATTTTGTTTTTTTTTCTTATCTCATTTTGGCGCTTATGTCTGCCGCCGGTGTCGACTATACTCCAGGTAAATATCACATTTCTCCCCGAAAGAAAATACCGATTGTTAAATTTGAATTTAGTATCGTTTACGAATCTGATGGCGATAAATTGACGACTCTGGATCACGAGACGAGATTAACGAGTTTTCTATTTATGACCTACCCGACGTGGCCTTTTTACCCGCATTCATTTACAATCGACGTGGGTTTTCAACAACTAAATGTTTTAGATATAAGGTTTTCAAGTAGGACGAACAACTTCCTCGGTGGCCGAACATCTTTTTCGATTTTCCACCGTCGCCGCGCCGTCGATATATTCACGATAAACATCAGGATTTAGTACAAGTTCCGTCGACGTATAGTAGGACTTCCAGAGTATAACCTTCGGTAATATTCAAAACTTTCTGCAGTAATTACGAAGTAAAATCCAGCCCGAACTGAACTTTCGGTAATTCGAAGTTGTTTCGCCGTGCAAATTGAGCGTGTATTAGACAGATTGTTGGTTGGAATTTTTTTCACATTCGTTTCAACTTTCACGATTTCAAATGAAAACGTGTAACAAGTCGACATCAACTCCTGTAGGAGTCAACGCTATTTCGGTGCAGCAGATTAACTACTCGTGTAAGAGTTTTCCGTCCCACGCATGACCAACCCTGTCCGCGGATACTTTACAATAATCCCGACATGTTCGTTCGTTACTAATTTAGTGGAAATGGACGAACGTGTCCATTTCCACCGCGCGAGTTTTCGTTATTTCCTTATCGACCCGCTCTTGAATCTCGGAGCGAATCGACCGCGTCCCAAAGACCGGAGTCCGTGTCGCCGCCGCCGCCGCCGCGGCGACCGTTGGCTTTGTGGCACGATAATATATTCCCGACCGCAATCCGAAACGCACTTACACCGCGCAATTAAAAAGTAACGCACGCCGGTTCGCCGGACGCCGTCACGCGCGGGCGGCCGCGTATCTAAATCGGAAGAGCGCGGCGTACGTACGCCCCGGGGGAACCGCGCGGCGTTACAATAATAAAATATACGAGTCTGCCGAACGCGCAAACACGAATCGCACTTGCGGCAGGACGAGCGTTTTTTACAATAATATTTTCGCGTCGCGTGTCGGGATGCGTGTCGGGATGCGTACCGGGGCCGGCGGACGACGTTACGCAACGGAATATTGCCGATAATACGCGCAACGTAATGTTGTTATAAAGACGGAGCGGGAAACAAAAGAGTCCGATCGCGTGTGCACGCGACCGGATGATAGACGTGCGCGTGTGAAAAGCGAGCGGCGTGCGCCGCGTTGTCCCGCAGCGGCGGAACGGAGAACATACAAGACACGAGGGGGGAAGGGGGGAGGGGGGGGGGGGTGTTCGAAAGTCTTTTTAAAATTTTTTTTTTTTTTCTAATTGACAACCAGGCTATAATAGAGAACTGGTTTTCTCGCCGGGACGCGACAAGACGAGTGTCTCGCGCCCATCGTTCTCGGGTCCGGACGAGCGCGCGCCCGTCTATTAGACGACCGAACCTCTAATAGACTTGTCAGTCATCGAATCTCGTGGCGGGCAGACGACGTTGCCGCCGTCACGATTATCACGGATAGTAGTGCGCATACAGGGACCCGGGCACGTGTCCATTATACGACACGATATTATGTAGTGTCGAGTTTATATTATACGAGTGTATATTCTTTGCTCGGTCCAATCGCACAACGATTATCATACACCGTCCGTTTGTACCGCTCGAGACGCAACGCCGCGGCGTCGGTCGACTCGACCGTGTACAAACCTTCGGTACACAACTAATGATTCGAAACTCTCGGCGACGATCAAAAAATAGAATGAAATGCGACTCGGCCTCTCGGGAATCCGACTATTTCTCGATTGTCTTAAGTTTTTCGACGTAGCGGAGAAACCGCTATAGTTTTACTACGGTTTGCTGTTTTTCTCCGCTCACGAGTTGAGCGTTATTAAACATTTGTTTCCGCGCAGGATATTATTATTAATCAGGCGCAAACGACGTTTTTTTTTTTTTTAACTAGGATGGGCTATTTTTGAGGCGCAAATAATATTCGGAGTAAAAACCTGCTCCCAGTGAACAGCAAACGTTTTTGGAGCGGTTAGGGCCGTGCAGTTGATTTTGAGCCATGTTCGCGCCTGTTATTAATCTCGAATTGGTTTCTATAATGAAAATAAGTATCTGTAATAATATAAATAATAGCGGTAAAACAGTATAGTATTCCGATTATTGCGTTTATCGATTTATAAGGACGTGATGGGAGAAATTTCTCGTATTTCATGCGGTGACTATATATGTAATGATATAATGACAGTGTGCACCGTGCCCCGGTATGCTCGCGGTTATACCGAATGTTTTAATAATTAATATTTTTTTCGGACGAGGGGACATTATACACCAAATGCGTATACATTCTCCGTGGGAGATTTTTCGCAGATCCTCCCCGACGACGACGCGCGCGTGTATTGTCTCCATTACAGCATATTATAGTGCAACGTAACGAAACAATAATATATGTGTACGGCTTAATATACAATAATAACGTTATTACAACGCGACGAGAGAAAATAACGTCTCGACTTCCCGAGTGCGGCGGTTTCGCGTGTGCCGGTTTGATAAAACGGCGAGAGACGAGAGAAACGTATTGTTGGGGGGTCGTCTCCGGGGACCGCAGACACGATTTCGGAGTGCTTCAGCGGGGCGATATCGTTTTTCTGCGGCGAACACTTCGGACAATGCTCGTGGAGGACGGACGTTTGACGCAAATAGTTTTCCCGATTTTAGTCTCGGGGTATACGCGTGCACGTATCGTATGTCGCGGAAAAGGGTCAAAACAAACGAGTCCTCGACATTTCTGGTGCGTGCACCACAAAGGGCGGACGACATATATATATTATACGCGCCGGTGGTTCCCAGCAAGGGATATTCCGCGGAAAATATATTCGGAACTGTAAACGACGCTATATATCATACCAAAGATTATAAACGGCGCTGACGGAATCTGACGCACTCTTTCGGAAACCAATCATTTGTGGAAATCACCACAAAAGTACACCAGATGCTATATTGTAATAGACTTCAATAGGCGGGACACTCTGTACTCCGAACGGTTTACCTTTGATTCCGCGGGGCTGAAGTCGGTGTTTAGCATTTCTGTTATTTCGTTCGTGTAATTTCCACTCCAAATTTCGTTTTCGGACTTAAATGGGCATTTTCAACGTACGACGTATTTCGTGTTGATATTTAATGTACCAACTATACAAATATACGTTATTTAAAAAAATTCAATTCGCTTGTATTGAAAACTATACAGCATTTGACTTGAGCCGTTCTTCCCTAGGACCAAAACAAAAATTGGAGGTTAGATCCGAGGATACATATGGATATATGATACGAAATATGGGTCTTATGGAGGCCGATTACCCAAAAAATAAGAAGTATTATTATCAAATATTATCGTAGGTATTGTAAAATAATTATTCTGAACAAATAACCACATAACAAATTTAAAAAAATCAATAAAAACGCCTGTTCACTTTATGGTATTTTTTTTATTTTTTGGTCAAAGAACATATCGTTGAACGCCGCGCGGTGGTGTTGAATAGGTACCTCGGTATAAATCATCGCAGACGCTCGTAAACCAACATCTTTTCAACGAGACGTCGGCAAAATTATTATACACTATACACTATACAGGTAATACGTAATTCTCAATGCGCCGAGACGTTTTATTAGGTCGTATACCGATTTTTACGTGTATATTCAGTACTTACTATTGTAAACTTTTCGACGGTCCGCGGTAAAGAAAAAAATCGTTTTTATGTCGTGACGTTTAAATCTATTATATGTCTGTTGTAATAAAATACGTATACCTACGATTTTATCGAACAAATCGTAAAATATTTAAGTAATATAGGTGCGTTTTCCTTCAAAAAAAAAAATATATATATGCACATTATGAAATAATATCGTTAAGTAACCCCCCACCAAAAAAAAAAAAAAAAACACGCAAACGATCGCAAAAAAATATATTCAAAGTCTTAACTACTTATTTACATTTTTTTTTATTTTTATAATTATTTACATTTTTATTTTTTATTATTACTCATATTTTTTATTTTTTTTTTATTGAATCAGTTATCAGATTAAAATATTGTTTTGCTTATGCATAAATTACGACGACAACGTCGCCGTTTTAATTTAAAATAATAGCAGCTATATAATCCTATAATATTAAGATCACGAAAACAGTTCCGTTTTTTCGTTATGTTTCACTATAGGTACCGAATTGTTGTGATTCCAAAAATAAATTTCAAGTCGAGGACGCTAAATGATATTTGAGTACGGCCAAAAAGCGATGAAATTAAACGTGAACAGATTAAACAACAGTCATGGTGAAAAACTCACATTTGGATTTTTGTAGATATTTTATTTTATTTTTTTTAAACCAGGCATATTTCGCACTACGGGAGGCTACTGTTATCAGATTTTTCAAGATGGAATGATAATTTATTTTTTTTTCAAACAGCTTTAAAGGCTATCACTGATTGTTGTAACAAACACAAACGTGTTTCCATTTCTCTCTGTCTTGAATTACTTCACCTCCATTTTATATGATTCTATTAGTTGTCTGAATATCTTTTTGTTTATTATGTCAATCCATCTCTGTTTTGGTCTTTCTGTCGGTTTTTTACCGAGGTGTCCACTTTAAGGCATTATTATTATTATTGATTTAGATTTTAATAATACGTGACCGAGCCTAAATTTTGTCGGACTCCATCTACCTACTTCCGAAAAAATCCGAGACTCTTTTGTTCGATCTTATCTCATAAGTTTATGTCTTATCATTTTTTTGAGGTCCGTGGATCTTCTTAGGAATGTTCTCTCCGTGACTACAGGAGAATAAATTATTGCCTGTGTTTTGTGCTCCGTTTCACTCACACTATACATTATGAACGGTTTTCTTAACACCTTATACGAGTATAAACGTTCTTTCAGTTTCTTCGATGCCAACAACTTTAAGCCTATAGTACAGATTTTATATCAACTTGGAGGATGTATACACAGAGCCATTTGTATTATAATATAAGGGTATTTATAGTTTATATTGAACAAGTGTTATCCGAGAAGAAAACAAAATACACATATTATAGTAAACATAATTATTAATATTATTTATTTTTCGTTTTCTATCCTTTAACTTTTTGACCTTTTATGGGATAAACGGTGCCGGTGTCTTATTGCGTTGAAATGGAACACTCTTCGATATATTTACAAACATCGTCTATAATAGTAATATTTTCGAAGGATAAAACAAAACACGAGGTAGATGATGATATTACAATATTCTGTATTGCATTTAGATGGGGATTAAAGTATATTTTATAAACATTTTGGGTCGACCGTATTATAATATTATGTATATACACTTTTGACACGTCCGCTGATCCGGGAGCGCATTTCCAGTCGACGACGTTTCCCACAGCCGTGTATACAATATCAATGTATAACAATATAAATTAAAATGATCGAGAACTGAACAGCAGCAAACGCCTGACAACGGGGATTTCGGATAAGGCGCAATTTATAATTAACAACACGCGGGGTCTTCTCGGTTTCGTATAATACACAAACAAAAGTCCCTTTAATTAGATCGCCTGGATGGGTGGAGGGGAAGGTGGAGGGAGTAAGTTGACATTTTAGGAGTAACGGGACCGTGATATTAATTGAAAACGTCACCGAATGCATAGGGAAATCGAACGCGACGACGCGACGGAAACATTGATAAATTGCGTAGGTACGCCGAAAAATAAATTCAATTGTGTCTTTCTCGCCAGTAGCTTAAGTACGTCAAAATCTAAAATACTGTTAGAAACTAATAACTATAATTAATAATGATGGATCACCGGGAGACCGGTAGAATAGTATATAAAATATTCTTTGATATATTTTGAGAATACCCAAGCTTTAGCTTAAGATTCAAATAAGCTAGACAAGCTAATCATTTTTTTTCTGAACAAGTTTAAATCAAGTTATCATAAAAAAAAAAAAAATAATAACCAAATGGAATAAAGGTTGACACCTAACTACTGGCGAATGCTGATGGGCGTACTGTTGATTTAAGAGGAAAATCGGAAGGAACGATATATAATGTAATTTAATTTATATCTTTACGTAACAATAAATCATTGCTAATGAAAAACGATTCTGAACAGTGTATTATTAGTTATATTTTTTCCCTTAAAGCTAAAGTATAACCCAGAAATCAACAAAACGCATACAACCATTACTGTCAGTCCTTGTTTATTAAGAAAACTACAAGAGAATTTAAAAAATTACCTTTAAAATACACTAACAAGATTGAAAAAAATAGTGTTCAAGAGAATATCTATTTTCGGTAAGTGCAAAATTTCGCAAGATGCACAAAAAAAAAAAAACACACACACACACACATCATAGTAAAACAAATAAATTGCTCGGTTCACTTACCACATGCAAATTTAAAGTGGACGCAATTTGACACGACGACACTGCAACGTTAACGTGTTCGGTGTTTAAATTCAAATTTCAGCTGATCCATCGATTCTAATCGTAGAATAATATAATATCATTGGTAGGTATATTTTGTATTGCGGAAAAACATCGCCATACAATAGATCGAAATCACGGTTATATTTTATAGCACGTACGTACTATATACGTAAGGGATACAATTATATTTACTCTTTCCAACGGCAAAACAAATCGAAAACCGGAAAACGGTCATAACGTTATTGTGGAAAATGATTTAAATTTTGAAAGTTATATATTATTGTATTATACTACCTACTTTCGGTTCGGTGAATATTATAGTATAATAATAATACAAAGTCGTTTTCCAATAGCTATAGATATTGATGCGTTTTAAAGTTTAAAAATCAAATCGAAACCGATAATTTGATATTGCGTATATATATAGTCACGGAAAAACGATTTTTTTTTAAGACCATTCGTCTTTCGGCCATCATCACGGACCATCTAACAACGGACGTCAAAACTCCTCGGAAAACTACTCATCTATACAATACCTACTGTTATATATAAAATACGAGATAAGCTTTGTAGTAAAATAAAAACAAATATAAACCGGAAAACTATTCCGGTACACACGCAGTGCATCATCCCGATAAATTCGTATTATATATTTATATCCGTGAGAGCGTATTGAAAAACCAATGTTGATGTTTACGTTCGTAAAATATTTTCGGACCGTGTTTACGTTTTTTTTTTTTTTTTTTATATTCCTAGCAGTTTTTTTTTAATATGCATGTATGTATGTAATATACAACGACATAGGTATTGAATATATTTTTCTTGTAAATATTGCCCGAGTTTTCTATATATATACAAAAAAAAAAAAAAAAACCTATTATTATACGACGTCGTCGTCGATACACGGACATTGCGTATAGTTGACTGTATTGCCCAGCTACATGAATATACCTACCGGATACCGAGTTTTTAACGTTTGAAATGCATAAAATATTATAATAATATTCCTGCGCAACGATTCGTAATCGGGGACAAAAACAAAAAAAAAAAAAAAGGTATTTTATTTTATTATTATTATTATTTTTTTTTATCTTATGTAACTGGCAAAGACCTAAGGGGACCGGTACAGTAGTAAATAATGACCCTTCAAACATGAACATGACACTTTCTTTTAACAAACACGTATACAACTATATATTATATTATATTATCATATTATTATTAATAATAATATAGCAATAGACGTCCAAACACGAAAGACTCGAAAACTCGAATTCTATTGGTCGGAACAATAATATGAAATGAAATTCGATCGGAGTGGATTCTTGCAAGCGATTTTAAGCCCTTGAACGCTATAAGGTAATATTATACTCGTATTTCGTATAATAATACATAATTCGAAACTACACGACGGCAGCGAGTAACTGTATTATTATTAAAGTATTAGGGCTCGGATTAAAAAAAAAATAATAATAACCAAAAATGCAATTTGATCGTGCTTATGTTTATAAAAAAAAAAATCGAAAGAAAAAACAACAATATATATTTGTTATTGTATGCGAATTGAATTATATGTCATTGCACTAATTTATCCCCTCTCTGAAAAAAAAATAATACTTATATCTATAATTTATTTATTTATTTTGGGAACCATCCCGTTTCGCAACAGTCGCAAACTCACAACCGACCTTCCAGCTATCAATTGCCAAAATCTTCCATTTTGGTCATTTTCCTATAAAGCTTCAATAGGTATTATTTTTTTACTACGTTTCCCACAGGTCTTTTCCCTATTTGGTAAGTTCAGTTCGAGCACTGTTTGTAGTTGACTTCTATGAATTATACTCGTCAAGCCCATTGCAGACTTTCTTTTTTTAGCGGTCTCAAAAATATTGTTTTTCCCAGATGTTTTAATAATAGCTCTCTGTTCTTCTTTCGTCTCCACTCTCCGTGAGGACTCATGTCGTCCTTTTAGTTCAAAAATCTTTCGCAATATTTTGCTTTCAAATACCAACAATATAAATTATTTTCGATGGGCGAGTTTCTTCAGTATTGCAATATATTACAATAATCGTATTAATCGCATAAAACTGTTTTCTTTTTCGTTTTCCTACGATAATGAACGTAACAATTTCAAAATATTACAATGTACAATCGAAATTTATACGAAAACGACCATCTGCAACGGTACATAATACCTCGTAAATATACAGCATCACGCGGCTCAAGAGAGGATAATAATAATTTCCGAAATATAAAAGGGACGACATAATAATATATATAGGTACTTGCGTATTATTACGTCGATTGAAAATTCGGTCACGTAATCTTCCGGCAAAAAAAAAAAACCGAACGAACGAATAATCGTCAATTGTTTTTCGATGATAAACTAAATGAACCCGTTTTTCATGTCGTTGTCGTTGGGGTATGTTTTAAAACGCATGTAATAATATTGTGATCGGCGTTGTATTTACACGCATGCGCGTTGGAATAAATTAAACGAAAAACAAAAGAAAACTGGTATATAAGACACATGTCTTATAGATTTAATAACATAAACCGATTTGGACGATTATTGAAACGTCAAACAACACTTGGGCCTTCGGCCGGGTTCTGCACGCGTCGAAGCGGAGGAATCCGTTTCGTGTATAACGATGAATTATTGCCGGAGGACTCGCCGCGGGTGTCCAAAGACGTTTTGAATGTCACCAAAGATCTAATAAAAAAAAAATAAGAAATCGAAAATCGCAAAAAAAAAAAAAAAATACCAGGTTTTATTACAGTGTATACTAAAGAGAGTACTGGATACCGGATACAATAAATAACACTAACTAGCGTTAATTTTATACTTAATACGTTTAGTTGAATATGTTATTAAAACATTATAATACATTTTTAGAAAATTATTATAAAAATCATTGATTTGCAGAGACAGGATATTTCGAGTTAGTTTTACGAGGAATGATTTTAATTTCAATTTTTTTTTACATTTTAATGACCAAATTAATGATAATACTTTTTCCTTTTAATGTACTACTCGATACACATTTAAGTGGAATAGGTATGACCGTTTTTACGAACGAATACGATGTTTTAGACCGAGACAAAACTGTAGGAGTTGTGTTTAATGGATTTCAACTTTGAAAACGTGTTACGATTCTTTAGATTCTACGGATACGTTGGAATTATTTTTTTTAAATTTTAGTTCTCCTTATCACGAGTAAAAGGCAAAATACTAAAAGCTATCAAATTGTTTTCCAGTTTCCAGTAAAATAACAATATATTTCTATTTCCAATATACCCTGGTATGAAGAACCTACAAAAAATTCATAATCCGTTTTCAAACTTGAAATCCGTCAAATACAACTCATGCTGTTTGGTCTGGCTTTTAGGTCTAAATCGATTAAAATAAACACCAGTCCCTTTACTATTGATTTTAAATTAGGTATGAATACATTCTGTTTCATCATATTTTAAGGACGCGTCCTTATAAAACGTGACCAATCAATGCAGTTTTTTAAATTTAATACAATGTAAATGTGTCAAATTTTACAAAATTTCAAATAGAAAAATTATGGTTTTAAATTGTATTAATTTGTTTCGGCGGCGTGGCAATTATTGGGTGTTATATTGTCTGTCGGAAAATCGGATTTCAATACATTTCCAACCAAAAACATCCATCCGACAATACGTTTTATATTTAGTACGTTTTGTATTTACGGTTACCCAGTGCTTATATTGTTATAATAATAGTGACCACCTGTAACTTTTAGCATAATGTATATAAGTGGATATATGCGTACACCAGTTACGTAGTGGGCAGCGTTCCGCGCAATAAGGAACAGAGATAGCAATATTAGCATTATCGAAATCGTACCTTCTAGTATCCGATATATAATCAGCAATACATTTTCTTCCATGAATTGTTTTCGAACTAATTGTAAACTTAAATTGGCGGGCGAAAGAAGATTCAGGAACGCCCGATAACCAATTCAGCCTGTATCCATTATATATAATCGATGTTATAATTGACATGTTTAATATAGACACGATAAAATGCATTTTTCGGAAATTTCAATTAAACGTCACCGACGTCCGGTCGTTTGCTATGCAGTTGGAAATATATTGAAGAGAAAAAAAAAAATTTAAAAATAAATCTCCGTGATGGTAATTATAATTTTGCACATACCACCGCCGAGTCACCGGTCTCACTCCCGTAGTCGTTACTGGCGGTTGCCACAGTTTACCCGCGCCTTCGAAGTTAAGGATACACTCTTACGGATTCTCTCGGTTTCTTCCTCTTGTACCTCCCCCTCCCGTCTCGTACACACGCGCATATTATACATTATTATTATCGCTGCATTATATTCACTTGGCGCTCTTCAAAGAAGCAGATTTATATTTACACGTACGGCGGCGGCACACGATAATTTATAGGAGGACGTCTAGCGCGCATACATAGAGTACGCCACCCATGTGTGCGGCCCGTGTAACGACCGAAAAGAAATCACGACACATTCCCGGTCGATTATTATCGTCGTAGTAGTCTTATTTTTTTATTTTTATTTTTTTTTTTAATTAGACGTCTTTGATTTATCCTGTCGCGCGTGTATTAAGATCGTATATACGACCACGACGAGGTTTTTCGTATTTTTGTACTTTTTACCCTCTGTCCTCGCCCACAGTCCGTTTGTCCGTGTGTTACATTATACTTATACGATTTTCTTTTCACACTCTCTTCGACACGACTATATAATATACACATACGTAAATAGTATTTATTATGTACTATACGGGGATTGGCACCATGCACGAACACTCTGCACATACCAGCGTTCATGAATATTCAATTTCACACACACACACCGGTTTCTCGTTTTTTTTTTCGTGTGTCGCTTAAACGGCCGTCGCGTCGTCGTTTTGCTTTAACCCAACCTTGAATATCGTATTTTCGATCGTAATGTACGTTATATAGGTGCCTATACGTATTTTACGTCTGGGTCGCGTTTTTTAATCCTCGCACGACGACACATAATATTAATAATATTATAATATAATATATCATTACACGCGCATATCTTACGAGATAATAATATGCATATAACTGCACTGCGCACGAATGTATCTATATATGCTCATTTTTCTGTAGGTACCTATATAATAATATTATAATAATCGTAGCGTTTAAAATCGTCGAAACAAACGTTTATTAAAACGATTTAAGATGAACAACTATTAAATAAACGTTTTCTCATAAAGAAACCTGTCAAAAAAAAAGGCAATTTAAAATTCTATACATTTGCAATCATAGTGCGTGGCATACATTTCCAGAGTGCCAGAGTGTAAGAGTTTATGTCAACCCGAAAAAGTAAACGAACAATATAATAATATATGCTATAGGACATGCACGTGAATATTGAGTTATGAACCGAGTCGAAAGATTTAGTTGAAAATATTTGACGAGCAAATATAAAAACCTATCTGGTTTTCTTTTGAAAAATTCGATCAAGACGTTTAATGAGTTTTTAAATATTTTGATTTTTTTACTACGCGGGATGCTTTTTATGCGATATTTTTCAAACGGATTTTATTATTGATTTAGAATAGTTACCCCTAACTGAACTATCTATATAGTTTTTATAACTTATAGGTCATGTTTTAAAAGATTTGATCAAAACGGATTCGCACAGGTAATAAAATACGATCGAAACGGGTCTAAGGAATTTTATGTGAATGAGTTTTATTTTTTCGGCCTTAACGGGATCTCTACGAGAATTCAACCTTTTTGTAATTCTCCAGGCCCGTCGGAATATCTAACCTATTATTTTTTTTTTTTTTTGCATAAAATATCGTCACCTATACAATAACAGAACGTGATAAAATAAGATCGTTATCGATATACGAGCATTATTAATAAAACAAGCCTTTTTAAAATATATTATTGTTCCCAAATTGTTAGACTCATGGTTACACTGTGTAAATCACGTTAACGATAACACCACTACTTGAATCAACATAATATGTTGATAAATGTTTTTTTTATTTCAGTTAAAAAACGAAATAAGTCTACTAATTGCGTTTTAGTTATATTTAGATTTAAAAACGTAATATGTGCTTATAATTATTTTGTGTTAAAACTGAAGGCAAAAATCAAGATTATCTTATATTCAGACCATTATTCCAAATATTCATATCAAATTTGGTTATTTTATCTCGATTTCACAATAAATTCTAGCAGTTCTAAAATTTGATGATTTTTAAACTCGACAAAAAGGTTTTTTGAGTGGTTGCAGTTTTTAACTGGGGCGTCGATGTAAAGTATCTCAGCCAATAACACGTCATGACAATATATAGTCGAATTATAAGTGTTCTTTTCTAAAATGGTTTTTTGATCGTCCTACAGTAAAACTACAAAAACTGAGAAACGCATCACTGAGTTGCAGTTTAAACGACGATATCATATTATATTAATAGGCACGTCGATCGTTATTTATTGTAATGTATACAGAGTGATCCACTTATTATTATTATTGCTCGAGTATAACGAAGTGATTGGAGTTTATGACGACGTCCTTGCGGCTGCATAGTACACTGCGCTCACAATATTATTTACATAATAATATACAACAACAGGTGTGGTACACACACAATAGATGCTGCAGTGCAATAATGTAAATATTTTTCGAAAAAAGGTCGTTCCTTATAATATATAGGTACCCGGTACAGTCTATACCACGATAAAAAATGTCCCGTTTCCAGTTTCTGCGTGAAAAGTAAAAAAAAAAAAAAACCCGTTGGTTATTATACCATACACTCCGTAACCGTATACTATCGAGGTGCAGTATTTCGATTCGTTCGAATCCGAACCATTCGCGGTGAATAAAAAAAAAAGTAGTTATTAATTATTATAACAATATACTCGTATATATTTTTTATTTATTTATTAAAAAAAAAAAATCGCCACTGATATCACTGCAGTGAAATAGGAATAAAATAAAAAATAAAAAACCGTTGCAAAGGGTGTCCGTCGCGTCAAACACGCGTAAATCGCGGTCGTAACCCGATATTCCGAGCACGACGGTCATATTATTGTATTACAAAAAAAAAAAAAAAAAAGTAAAAAATCTTCTCAGCAGGTGTTTTATAATATTATTTGTTTACGTCCGTACAAATATTAACCTTATCTGAGAATTAATTTTCTCTTTCTCCGTCAGATCGAAATTTAATAGTATGCGTTTTTTCTCGCGCCTGCAGCAGACCACGATGCAGTGCCCCGCAGGATTTACAAAATTCCAGTAATATTTATGCACGCCTGTATAGCTGGTTGAGTAATTTTAATAATCCAACGCGAACGGCAACTGCTTCTAGCAATCGCGGGCTATAAACGATTTTTTTTTTTTCCTTAACGAGTTTAAATCATTTTCATTTTTAATAACGTGCTCGCTACCGCCCACTTGTGCACACACACACACATTATTATTAAGTATCTGTTATCGTCATCTTCATCGTTGGTAAATATTGATTAGCGAAAATCCATTAATATAGAAAGACCGGAGGCCGTGCAGCGCCCGCCGTTATCGATACTATTACGTTTTTTTTTTTTTTTTAGATTCCGAGCAAAGCGAAGAATATAATATATTGGTTTTACTTTATAATGTTTTATTTGTTTATTTGTTTGTGTCCGTACACAACTAAACTGCATTGCTTCCAATAATAATCTGCTCAGAATCATTTTTCCTTAACAATAGTGTATCGAACACAGGCACAATATGACATATATATATAAATACATTGTTGACAAAGCATCATTTTCAACTGAACTCCGCTCAGAATCATTTCTTCGTAAGCAATGGTTTACATCGTTGCTTACAGGTATACATTAAATTACCTATAACAGTGGCTGCACCTTATAATTAATCCTAGGACGTCTTTTTTTAAGCGTGACATAAACATTTTAAAAATTCTTATTTTATTCTTATTTAGGTGTAGGAACGCCGTACACGATGATTATTCTACGTCAACACCAACACCGACGGCGCAATGTGCGGTAGCAGAAAATTTAAAAAAATTTCTCGATCTTGTATACGGCGTCGTGCGTAGCGTTTTTCTTTCTTTTTTTTTTTTATTATTTTAATCGACCCGATATAATACGCGTATACGCCGCGCGTAATAGTAATACTATAATAATAATAATAATATTCTAATATATACACACCACAGTGGTAATAAAACAACATTCTCGTGTATAAATACCGAAAATAGAAGCGGAAATTGTTTACATGCCGCCCCCGTGGGGAACCGCGTACATAAACACTGGCACAGTGCGTGTATATAGTGTACACAATAATATTATAATATACAACCTGTTGTAACGATTGCGCGTGTGGCTGCCGAAATGAGAAGTATTATTATAAATTATAATACTGGTACAGCACGCGCGTGTGTGTGTGTGTGTGTGTGTGTGTGTGTGTTCGCGCGCGCGTGTGTGTATATGCAGAGGTAAGATCCGGCTTAGGAAAAAAAAAAATCCATCTAAAACACTCGTGTATATTATTATGTTCTCTTCGGGGCCCACCACGAACGCAAAAACAAACAAAAACATTACCGTATTAGATTCCGTTGGCAGAGCGAGAGAAATCTATCGGTTTTACTATAAGGTGATGTGCTTGTGAGTGCGCGTGTTTTTTTTTTCTGCCCGTTAACTCGGTTTCCACCGGAAGACTTTAAATCTTCAAAATGCTTCAGTCAAAACAAATTGACGGGGGCGTGCGCGGGGGTACTTATATATGGAACAACAGAACAGCCGACTATAATATAAGAAAATGTTTTCAATTGGTTAACAACCCGTTACGGGTGAAGCCGTTTTGCCACTTTTCTAATGCTCTACAGTGTAAATGCTGTGGGCATGTAACCACTAGTGCTCGATTCGTGTTCTCACGCCGCTCACGAGTGCTACTGAATCTTAACCAGTCGATTTAGTGGCTTGATAGTCGATTAAGCTAAAACACGTAAGTAACTGAAACCGAAATTCAACGTGCTGCAAGTCACAAGTTGCATGAGACTATACGTGTAATTGCTGAGTATTAAAATTTTTAACACGGTGAACGGACGGGAAAGATTTTCAAATTTAAATTTCTATATTCCGTCGTAAATATAATTTTGTACTTTTTCGGTTTTGGGTTTGTGCGGTTACACTATTAACACCCATCTACAACAGTGACCTAACCTCGGTACGGAGGTATATCCGATGGATTTTTTCCGCCCCCTCGAAAATACGACTATTATTTCGTATTTCACGCGGACTACTATATTTATAGTCCACTATCCGGTCGGGAATACATTTTGTTGTTATTAAAAATTCACTACGGTGCGGCGCGGCTCGGCGTTGGCGGCGTCGTATTATCGCAGGATGGCGATAAAACGATTTTTTTTTTCCTACAGACTACGTCTAATTTAATTACATTTTAAACAAATACAAACACCTGTTCAAACACGAGCAACCGCCGTGGTGTTTGTGTGCCCAAAATATAGTACCTAAAAAAAAAATAAAAAAAAAGAAGTCGACCATTATTTTTTTGTCAATCAAAACATTTTAATTTGTGATAGTGGAGTACCCCTAGTACATATATTAGTATATAAATACACAGAACTTCTGGAGTTAGAAAAAAAATAACTAAAAAAAAAAAAAACTATTTTAATTATGAACATGCATGATATTTTAATAATATATTATTTTCTCAACGAACAACTACGACTTCCCTACTCTATAGAGGAAACACGGTGCAATCTGCAGTTATCTTGTTCATTAACTGCGTTAATTATTAATGAGAATATCGAAGAATTATTTTCGTGCGGAGAAAAAAATAGTACCGAAGTAAAACATTTGAGACGATATACATAAGGACGGTCGTGACAATCCGATGTTATAATATGGGGTGGATAATACGTTGGAAAAAAAAAATGAAACTAATTACCCGGATATAAATCAATTTGGATGTCGGTTAAAAAATATTATACAAGATTAGGTACAAACAAGATGAACGGATAATAATTAAATGTGATTTAACGATAGTAATTAATATTGAAATTAATGCATTTTAGTAGGATGTGTGAGGTATACCGGCCGATAAGTGGATCAATTTGAAAATATTGTGTAAATAACATTGTGACAATTTTGTTCGAAAATACGGGAAATAGAAAAAAAAAAACCGGCCGTGTAGTGCATGCCCCTTAAAATGAAAATTAAAACTGATTATATTATTTTTTAAACATTGTTGAAAATTAAAACCACGATCAGAACTCATATAATATATAGGTATAAATTTCAATATTTTATATATTGCTTTATATAATGTAATAAAAATAGATATTTGTACAAACAGTGTCTGTTGGTGTCAGTTATTTTTTTTTTTCAATCCAAAACCGATTGTATCTCTTTACATTACTACGAATACTACGATTATTTTTAAATGATGTAATAAAAAAAAAAAAAAAAAATACAACGGTTTTAAATTCCTGTAGAGAGAAAAAATACTGGTGTTTCCCGGCAACTGGTTCCCGTCGTAAGTATCGTAGCGCTATTTACTATAATATTACTACTACTATATCAATAGGTAGTGTTATGCTCGTATTTTATTATTATTCTTGGCAATCCGAAAACGCCGTTTAAAACGTAGATACTATCCGGGGACCATATAATTAAAACGTTTATAAACTCGTATAATAATATCTCTCAAAGAAGAAGCTGGGTTTCAGTCGCGTCTATATAGTTTTCAATAAAAACAAATTACAATTTTCAAAATACATACATAGATCTATTTATAATCGATCAAATTATTGAAAAAAAAAATGCAGAAAATTGACTTAAGCTCTTTTCCTCTAGGATCGAGCGGACTCGAGCAGGATCTGTCGAATCCTGTTTTCTCGGGTTATTTTTTTCGTGGAGGGGAGGCAATGAAAGGGGAAGTATTTTTAACATTTTCGACCCTAACTAATTTATTAGCACTTCCATCAACGTCATGATGAAAATTTTATCGCACCAGTCTACAGAGACGGTTTCCGGTCGAAACTACAATACCCTGGAGGCGGTCTCGCCGATTTTCATTTCCGATTTTCCGGCACACCGGAAAATGTACATATACAGCTGATATACCGCGGTATCTCGTCATATACCACAACTTCCTTTGTGGTAATAACACACTGCCAGTACATACCTCGACTTTAATCTTATAGCATACACACTGCACAGTATATATAATATACAGCTTGCGGGAAACTGTAGAATCCAGTAAAATAATAATTATTATTATTATTACTAAGTTTCTAATTTTTTTTTTTCTAAAAACCCAAACAAATAAAACCCAGAAATATGATAGAAAAATTGTTAACGTATAGACAATTATAGTAAAACCAATACATTTCTTGTTGGGCTCGGGAACTAAGGAAAAACGAAAAATGTCGTAAAGTTTGTAATACCTACGAAAAATGAAAGAGCGTCAACCGCAATGCGTCACGATGACTTATTAATTATATGGAAGGTGACGTAGAAAGCCATATGGGAAAAGGAAGAATAATATATAAGAAACAGTAATGATTACCACGATAGCCATTGATAAGGACAGTTAAACAAAAAGTTAAACCGATGGAAAACTACAGCAAACCAATAAAACGTTTAAAGTCGAGAAAATAAAACGTATTTATTTAATATACCCATGATGACGCAGTGGGTGACATAAGTTTTTATCTCACAGCGGCGTGTCTAGGAATTTTTGGTGGATGAAAACGTAGTAAACAGTATAATCACAATTCATAAATAAATCGTAGAACCTTCTTTTGTTAGGTACCTAACCCAACAATGAGATTATTACGAAAGCCGGATCTAAAACCATCCATTCAATAAACCAAGCATTTTCCTTTGTAACTTGGCAGCAGTTTATAATTTCAAAAAAAAAAAAAAAAATTAAATAAATAAATACTCAAAGTTGGTTGATTATTAAGCGAATGGCGGGGTGGGGCTATAACCTCTAATATCCTGCCGCGCACGCCACTGCTGAGAATCTCGCAATATAAGATATCTTTTTGAATTACCGAAAAAATAGGCAAAATATTCAAAAATACGCAACATCCCATAAGCTATATAGCTGTATAATGTATACATAATAATTTATGAACGCGATTATGATTTACGAATAACACGCAATTGTACAAACATTACGCGACTCGTGCGATTATTTATTTGTTCAACGCACTCGAATAATAATTGCAATAATATGCACATTGTTTTTTATTCACCTAACGTTATAATATGAAGTGATATTATATTATAATTGCCACGAGTTTTCCGTGTTTTTAATCCATTTTTTTTCCTCGGAGTTTCAAATTAAAAATTTAAATATCAAAATGCCAAACATGGCGTATAAAACAAACCCAGAAAAAATAAAAAAGAATCAAAAGAAATCGAGTACATGAATAATTGCGTATCTTGATGGTAATATTGATGGAACATGATAGAATATTAAGTGTTCGTAAATTGGCGATATTCGCAAAATGTAATCAGACGGAAGAACTTTACTAAAATGCTACTCAATTGCCGTTATATGAACGTTCTTCAAAGAGCTGTATTATAATATATTGCATATTCTCATCAAAATATTAATCGAGTTATGAGTACGACTATACAGTGAGTAAGGGGGTTCATCAAACAACTATACGAATAAATAAATAACGAAGAAGAATCGATTTTTTTTTATAACTTGGACTAATGTAATTGTTTCCCGTAAATTGCACTGATGAAGGTACATTAAAAATTAGCGTATTAGTTTTTGTAAATGTGTATGCATTTTTAACGTTAAATTTGTTTGTATTGCAGAATTGATTTAGTCTCTTCTTTCTCGCGACCAACGATGTTATACTATCGTAAGCTAAAGTTGTCCGATCGTCTTAACTGGCGACCGTTTCAAGAAAAACATGAAACGTTTTTATCGCAAAAGATCTGACTCGTCTAAAATGGCGATACTTCATACGGAGATTCGACAGCGTTAAGACTTTTTCATTAACGCGAACATTTCGTAGTGCCTAATTCAGCAATTTTACTGGAAAATTTAAATATAAATATATAATTTTTTTTTTTTTGAGTCAGCATGTAAAATGTGTTTATTTGAATTGAAAATATAACACAAAATCACATTTTTGAAATTACGATTTACGAATCAGACCAACGTTGTACGATGTCTACGGGTAATTTATTAATTGTCGTTATTTTGTATATAGACGTCGCCGTTGCCGTAAGAATCCGGTTGTTTTTTGTTTTTGTTTTTTAATATTCGTGACACAGCCGGTAATATTTATCGTTGCGATGTCTCGTGTGTATGTGAAGTGCACGCGCAATGAAAAGTCAAAGTAAATGCATATTCTATAATAATTCGAACATCGTACAGCGTTATTCTCATTCGCGTTGGTGGCCCACACACTATTATATATACTCGTACACACAAAATAAGAGTAGACCCGATATTTTTGTTTTATGTCGTGGAAAACGCGCAGTTGACGTGTGCACAACGATATTATTTATATATTACATATATATATATATATATATATGTGTGCTCAGGTGTGTACACTTAACATTTTTTTTTTTTTTCCGTCGACATTGTCTTCTGTTTTTAAGTAGTTTGTTGTTGCCTACGTGCTTGTTGCAGCGTGGATTCTACGACGACGACGTTTCTATTAAATCTGTAACGTGGTCGTCGTCGTCGTCGTCGGGCTTAACGAAACACGTAGGGTTACTACTATTTACTTACTCGTACATAATGTGTTTCACTCGAACGAGTCGAATCACGGAACCACGAAATATTTCAACCGGATGGACCCGGATTGAAATGGATTTTTATTTAGGAAGATTGGGGGAGATAGACGCATTTCGAGCAGATTTTCAAAAGTTTAACCCTCGGATAAAACTTAACATTCTATTCAAATAATATTATTATAATTTTCCCTTTCCCCCTCATAAAACAGTACCTAGTAAAATGTCTTTATTTTTAAAACCATGCGTATGTGCGCATGTTATTGTTATATATATTTTTTCAAATCGAGAAGAAATCATGTATTTAATAAAATCGGACGATTTTAGGGATATAATTAAATAAATCTGTCAAAATAGCCTGAAAAAAATTAGAAATTTTCTAAGGAGGTACCTATGATTTTTCTAACAAAAAAAAAAAAACCACATTTCGATCAGAGTTAAAAATAGTATTGTGTGTGGTCCATTTATTAAAGTGAAATAACATACTTTATTGAGATTTTTTTTTTAAACTAGTTTAAGTTACGTTGTTTTAAACAAAAGTATATAAGCTAATTTAAAAAGGTTCAGGAAAATGGTAACTTAGTCAAGTTAAAACTGTTATTTTTTCAAAAACATATAAAAACGTAAACGTATATTTTCAAAAACGTATATACTTTTTGTACTCTAAATATTTAGATTTTATTATATAGACTTATTAAGTACGTGTGGATATCCCATATCCCCACATAGGCCGAATACATGTCTCGTTATGTGATAATGATAATTATAATGATCACGTGAAAACACTTAATTTTCGTTGAAGAATAAATACATAAATACGTGCAATAGGTCTACAGTTTTAAATTTAATTTACCTTTAACTAAAATGTTAACAAAATAACTAATAAACTAGTTGGTTTTTAATCTTCATTTTTATTTTTGTAGACTACTTAGTTGAATTTATCGAAAAATGTGACTTTTTAAACTACAACTGCAATTACTGCTTAGCTTTGAATACAAACAACAAAAACGAAAGATCGCGCGGCAAATAATCCGTGCAGTGTATCTACGTAATATATTATAATATGCGTGAGTCTCGATTGTAATATTATTATTGTATTGATTTCGTTTTCGTGTTTGTATTATTATTAGAAAAAAAAAAAAAAAAACCAGTCGGTAAATCACTCGATATAATGCTGTATTTTCACTTTTGTCAACATCGTTTCGCGTACACGCTATAACATTAGGTGCGTTTTGTTTGGGTTTTCGCCAACCACATCACCGTGTGTTATTATATTATTATAATAATAGTCAGTTGTTTTTACGACTTAAACGCACAAACACACACGCACACAAATGCGCGCGCGCTCGTTCAGTGACTTGCATAACGTTTTTACAATAATCGCCTTCGGCGAAAAATATTGACGTCTTAACCAGAGCAGAGCTTCTAGACTGCTGCCACTGCAGGGTCGACGGCGCGGAAGCTATTTGTATTTGTGTACTTACTATTATTATTATTATTATTATTATTATTATAGGTCCCGACCTCGTCGGCAGCGTGTAAACCGCATTTTTATGGGGCTCGTAAAATAAAAAAAATTACGCATACAAACGTGTGACACGAACCAGACGGGATAAATAGAAACGAGAAACAAAATAAAACATTATATAGGGAACGAAATCGATTTGTATACTTATAGGTTATACAAGCTAATAATATATAATAGAGTGTATAACAATGTCGTGGGGAAAGAACGAGAAAAACTATAAACGCATAATTAAATGATGAAAAAGGAGGCTGACACTGGTAACGGACGTGCCACTGTTGTAGGATGAAAGTTTAACGGGTAATTTAATTTATATAATATTTGTATATAGCGAAAACGATAAACGAAATTGCTAGCGGTCGAAAAACGATTTTGAGCAGTGTATTATTAGTCGTATATTTTTTCCCTTGGTACCAAAGCATAACCCAGAAATCAACAAAATGTATACGAGTATTTGTCAGTCTTTTTTGTTTATTGAGAAAACTACAAGGAAAATCCAATAATTGCCTCTTCAATGCACCGACTAGGTTGAAAAAAAAAAAATGCTACAAGAGACTTCACAATGTTTGATTGGAGCGAGATTTCCGGTAGAAAAGTTCGATGTGTGCAGAGACGCACGCATATAAAAAAAAAAAAAAAAAAACCAAGCGATATTTTTCGAATAACACGCATTTCCCCGAGAGCCGAGATACGTATGCTGAAAATTCACTGTCGCTAAAAAGAAAAATTCGCTACAAACGACGCCGTCCGCGCGTATTAACTACCGAGTCTGACGAGTGAGATGGGTGGGACGGGGGTAGGGGTTGGGTTGGTTAGGTGGCTCGGCCTTATCTATATTACAGCGGCCCCGGTTATTAATAATTAGTCACGATTGTACGACCTAATCGTGTAACGAGACGACGACGATAGAAAATACGCGCCGAAGTGAAAATGTGCGCGGCCGCAGAGGAACTGGGTTTATATACAAATAATGTACGCGCGATCTTATCTGCGCGGTATTTATTAGTCCCGTCGCGAGAGACCAGCTGCGGCGCAGAGATGTTAGGTCTCTAAAAGCGGGACCCGCGTGATAACTGTATTATCATTATTATTATTATTATTATTATTATTATTATTATTATTATTATTATCATTATTATTATTATCATCATTATTATTATTATTATTATTATTGTTATTATGGTAAACGTGCATGTAGGCACGACTGAACACCATTTCTGGGGGGGCGCTAAAATTATAGACACATCAAAGACCCGTGGGGCTATGCCCCCCACCCCCATTCCCCTTTACATGACTCTTGCGATAGTTCACTACGCCTTTACTTTACAATTTTGTATACACAAATTTATCATTGCTATTTTAACATACGCACGTGCGTTGTTTGTTGAAAAAAACCTGTATTTTGTTCTGCTCGTTAACTATGAAATGCGTGGAAAAAATGTTTGTCGTTACTATGAAAAACCTGATTGGGATTTTGGGGCTGCTAATTTTAAACTTGGGGGCGCTAAAAAACCCTAGCACCCCCTAGTTGCGCCTGTATATACGTGTAGTGCAATAGTATTATACAGGCTTAATACACTATAACCTATAATATCATCGGGAGAGGCGCAGGAGAAGTTTACATTTTGTCACACGAAACGATATTTCGTTCGACATGTGAAACGCGATTTTTTTTTTCTATTAATCGAATTTCGCTTCTCCGACTAATAATAATAATAATAAAAATAACACACGAAACTAAGAATGTGCATACGTACAAGACGCGAACAAGGGTGGCGTCTAGCCCGCAAGTATCGAGAATGCGATTTCCATTGATACGCGCCTATCGGCACTAAATATTACGGGGCGTCATTTTTTTAAAACTCCGGAATTGTCCATGTCGGTCATATCGCTATAACATAGTACACGAGAAAATAATGCTGGGGTCGTAGAAAATCGCTAAACGGGGCAGCGGCGCGCATTCAGGATTTTGCCAAGCGGGAAGACATTGAATTAAAAATCGCGTCGAACCAATGTGTAACTTTTATCCAGACTAAAAAATAAAAATCAACGTTTATTATTTATGTATTTTCGTAAGTAGTTTACAATTCAATCTACTCTGTGCATACAATATGCGCATTTAAGTAATTGTTTACATTCGTTCGAAAACAAGTAAATGTGTTATTGTCTAAAAGCATGTTTAGCTTTATTTTTTTCAGAGCACTTTTCGACGGTTTTTAGTGCATTTAAATCCTAATACAATTACAATTACGCGGTAAACGAGTGGATTTTTAATTTTCAAACGAATTATTGCGTGTGCGGGAGGAGGAGTATAATTCATACAAATGAGAGAACGCGATACGAGCGCGGTGTGTACGCAATGACAAACGGGTTTACCGAGGTGTGTACGCGACAATATCCGAGGGGACGAGCCGCGGACAAGCCCGTCAGACCGAAAACGAATATATCCACGAGGCTTATACAATTATCATATTTTTTATTGTCATCGACCGCGGTTACACGCATTCGACGATGCCGACGACGGGCTCACGCAACACGGTGCGAACTGACGGTATAACAGCTAGTACCCAACCGTTTTCGCCACGGTCCAGCGCGTTTCCCGAACGACAACTACGACACTGCATTAAATCGCATTACATTTCAGCACCATAAACAAAATATCAAAAACATAATGTCAATCCGGACCGTATAAGACAATGGCGTTATTGCGAAACTACGCGTAAGTATATAATATTATGCCGAGGTGTTTTTTTTTGTTTTTGTTTTTTTTGTTTTTAACAAAGGCATTGTACTCGCGTTACGTAGCGGCGGAAACGCGTAAAACTACTGGAAATGTCGCGATCGTCTTAATATCAGAATATCGTATTTTTACTAACCGAAAACGCGTTTACTTTGTCTATCATACATTCGAAATAATTCGGAACGTTTTCGCCGAGCTAAAAAACTAAAAAGTGTGTTTTTTTTTCGCGAATAAAAATACACACGTATCAATAAACATAGTTTCTTCACTAAGAATCTATATAATGTAATCCGATAAATTATTAAAGCAAAATGCGTTCGAGAGATCTGATACGATAAATTTAAAACAAAATTAATGTTTTTCAAGCGAAATACCACGTTGAAGCGAAACAATTTCCGACTTTTTACGTATAGACGGGCGAATTAAAATAATGACTACACCGAAAGCCAATTATTATTATTATTATTATTATTACACCGACTGGAATACGATGTATAATTATATAAATAAACTTTACGCGAATAATTATATGGGTAGCGAATTTCTGTTCCTTCGTCGTCCGCCAATACCGTTTGACGGTATAAAATAATGTAGCCGATTTTTTTTTGTTTTTTTAATATAATAATATAACGCCGCTCGAACGCCAACAAGGGTTTCTTTCAATTTCAAGTCTAACAGAGAAATCGCGTTGCGCAGTAGGTACGCCTATAGCCCTTTTTGGACAACTTAAAAACGGTCCTTCCCCCGTGTATACAAAATCGCCTGACCGACGAATTGCCGCGATGATTAAAAACACTACTGTACTCGTATTATATATTATCAAAGAGCGCGGATGTTTTATATTATTATTATTATTATTTTTTTTTTTTTTCTTCAAATATAACGCACCGTTGCGACAACGACGTTTAGGGCGCGAAACAGCGGAAGCCGCAGAAACGTGTATAATAGTAAAAGATCGATGTTATCCCGTAGACCGGAAAAAACATCAAAGAAATCCATAACAGAGTGAGAGCAAAAACTCGCAGCAAACCACTATACGAGTGCCTACTATATACTATATAGAGATAGAAGCTGCAGTAGAAAACTGAAGAAAATAATAATATATTGCGCGCATGCCCATTTATATGGCTACCTCGAGGGATGTTATAAATAAAGCAGCGTGTACCGATAACTTTACCGCGGATAGGTAGTCGGTGTATAGCTGATATTATTATTATTATCATTATTGTTGTTGGTGTTGCCAAAAAGACTTAAAAGCAACGCGGCAGAAAATATATAAAACTTTAACCGAACTTTATCTATACCGCCACACCACTGCTGCGAGAACCGTTGCACAGACAGCAGTCATTCCATATCGCCACTGTCAGCAGGGAGTAGGGCCCGGGTCGAGTATATTTGTTTCTGCAACGCCCGCCAACTCGTATATTGTGTTACACGCAACCGAGGGTTTCATAAGCTTCGCGTGTAAATATATATATTTATATAAAAAGGGTTTTATCGATCCGAAAGGATGACAGTCGTTTTCAGCCCTCTAGTACTGAGTCTCTCTGACCGTCTCTTGTATAAAATAAAAATAATAATATGTCCGATTACGCGTGACGGATACGTCATCGCAGTATTATAATATATACCGAGGTAAAATCCGACTTATTTGCACAAAATACCGTTTTTGTCCCTCGCCAAAATAATATCTTCTTCTTTTTAAGGGGTGACGACGGCCTTTAAGACCAACTCCCCAAGCAAATACCATCCATCTACTTCTGTCCACCGTTGTGTCTCGTCATTGTATCCCAGGTTCCAGCGCTCCTAAATCCCTAGCAACACACAATCCACCCATATTCCCGGTGGTCGGTTTGCTGTTGGATTGTTTTCGATTACAGTCCTCATAGTATTGATCCCCTGCACGTCCTGTCCATTTCACCATTCTCACTGAAATTTCTTTTGTGATGCTGGGTCGTTTAAAAAGCTCCCGCGGAGTTCGCGATTGTGGATTTTCCTCAATTATCCAGTTCGAGTACCTTTACATGGTCCGAAAAATATATGTGTATTATCCGCAGCTATATAATAATATAGTGGCTGAAAGCGACCGCGCCGAGGAATTTCCTTTGGATACACTCGATCATGTTACGTTACCGGCGAGTAAGCGTGTCAGGGTGCTAAAGGATTGAACCGTACTTCAAGGTAGCACGAATAATAACACGTTAGAGAGATTTGAGAGACGGAATTCTTGAGAGATGCAATTAGAAACGAGTACAACTCGAGGGATTCGCAGGCCTGGTGTACGACATTGGACAAAGACTGACGGTTAGTGTAAATCCAAGGTCATTAACGGTATGATAGTGTATATAAATATTTATTGTATTCAAGCGCGATATTTTGCGAATAATATACGTAATATAGCGGCAGTATGACAAATCTCACATTATTATGCGGCGTTTGTCATTTTAACATAATATTTCGTGTAAAAAACGAATAATACCAATCAAATATCTACCTAGACATAGTGTACAATAAGTTCTACATTTGTTATTTTAAGCGCATTATTCAACTATCAGGTTGAGTGGATTAGGACGTTACGCCTAATTAGGTGGTTGTAATTACACTCATCAATTATTTATCAACAATATTTAGTCGCATAAATCACGCGCTGAAGGACAATTTTTAATCTGAATTTCTAAATACCCGCAATCAATCGTAGGATTGCAATTCCCACGTTGATGAAACATTGCAGCATACTCAACATTCAAAACAAGAGTAAGCTGTCTGCTTTTGGTCTCGAAAATCAGTCCCCAAAGGCTGGCCGACGCAGGGTTTTCGGTATTTTTATAACGAAAATGTAATTGTTATTATTATTTGTTTGTTTTTTTATTGTTTTTAAAAATAATTGAGCTGTGGTGTACTCATATTACGTATGTTTAAAACGATGTTCGGACTTTCCGACAACTTTCGCCGTATTGAAGAAGGGCCTCTAGAACGAGTAGTGGATTTACCGTTATAATATGGGACGACGGTTATGGCGGGGATAACACGACAATAGTGTTGTCAATATCAGTTTGGTTTTTTGTTTTTTTTTTTTCACTTTACGAAAAAACACTCAGACAACACTGTCTATACGTACACAATATGTTGACAAAACAAAGATTTATTTTGATAGCGTGAAATTATCTCATTTACTCCGATCCCCGCGCTCAAACCATTATACGCTTATAATTGCTTTTTGAAGTGCTATACCGGAAAATTATTTTAGACCCACGGCACAACAGCAGCGCGGTCCGTCCGGAATCGAGAGCTCGCACACTTCTCCGGTCGAGGGCCCTGCAAATTAATTACAGACCGATTATCCCGATCCCCCTGTATATGCGTATGATGTGTACGCGTACACAATACATCGCGCAAAATCGCTGTTTAGAAAACGACTTCACCGAGAGTCCCGCACAATGCAATTTCCCGTCGAATATCGTTATGATTAAAACTTATTGGTCATGTTATGACGTGTGTGTGTGTGTGTGTTTTTTTTTCCAGTACTCTGCTTGGAATCACGAAATATTTATAAAGAGGGTATTTCTGGCAGCGTTTTTTTTTTTCTTTATATGTAGTCTGTACTTTTTTTCGAAACCGCTATTGATTATGCTGCAGGTTTAATTATTAAGCGTGTGGTTTTTTTTTTTTTTTTTTTAAGTTTTGAGTAAATTACTACGACGCGTTTTTATTTTTCGTGTGTAAACGATTATTTATCGGAAATCTTGCTCCGATAACAAAAAAAAAAAAAAAAAAAAAACCGTTATACTACTTTCCGACTTCCCGCCCGCAACAGCCGTGTTTTGACGGACGAGACGGGAAAAAAAAATATGTCAATCCGAACCGAATCGAAATGTTCGGAGCGGGAACTTAGACGCGCCGACACGAAACGAAACTCCTCGAACGTCCTTAGTACGTCCCGATGTGAGTGTGCCGTACGATCCGCCACGGGCAATTCGGATACACTGTGTGTATATAAGTCACGCGGACTTGCGGCCGCAACGTCGGTAGTCTTCGCGGGAATAACAGAGTCCGACGGCCCGCCGCCGGAGTCCGGCCCTTTTGTCGTAGGGTTTATTTTTCACTCCCGCCGCTCACCCCGGGGGGATACGCGAGAATTAAAATATTCGTCGGCGTCGGGCGGGCGCACTAATCGCGTCACGAACGCGGTGCGCTGCAGCCGACTCGGGTGTTCGCGGGAGGGTCATAGCTAGGTGCGCGTGTGACGGGGCCGGGTGACGAGCGTTTGACAGCTGAAACGGGACGAGGGTCGGGATTTCTATTCCTGAAATTATTGCTTTCCCTCCGCCGCCCGCCGACGGTCCGCGCGAAAACGGCGTTCGGAAATATGTCACGTTCCGGGTGTTTGCGATGCGACGACGCGGGGGGATGGGTGTATCGCGCGTATTACGTTATTATTGTACGTATGCTGCGGCGTCCCCGCGGCCCCGGCTATCGGACCGATTTACCGGCCCGACGGTGCGCCGTCGCCGCGGGGCGGACGCGTCGCGTGAAGAAAAACACGCGTCCGGAATAAACGTGTTTCCGCCTCTGATATTCTTTTCGACAGCCGTAACGGCCGCGTCGTGCGGTCCACGGCCGGAGCGATCCACGACGCCGCGCGCGCGTCCCCCGGGCAAAAACGTCCGTCGCGCGATACGCGAGCGCGACCGTGCGGAAATCGATTTGTAGGGCGAGCGAAATTCGCGCGTCTCGTACTCGCCGGACGATGATTTTATCAACACTACGCGGAAACGAGAAAAAACGATAAACGGTTTCATTGAGGGGACCACCGGGGGTGGGGCATGGTTATATTCGAGAAGTTTGTTATTGTTTACGCGTCCGCGTGGGTGTATTTTTGTGGTGTGTTCAGCGTGTAAACGCGACGGAAATGTGAGTAATTTTTGTTTTTTTTTTTTTTTCCACGGCGATTATAAATTTACCAACGTGTTTAGACGGAAAACAAAATTTGACACAAAAAAAGACGATCGCGAATTCGTAATTTGCCGGCGGCGAATTACACGTAACTGATAAAACTGTTGCGAAAAACAAAACAGATTTCGATTACGGTTTTGTCGACGATTTCTTCCAGACTTTCCGTCGTTTTAACGGCGCCCGGGGACGTGAACATTTGAAATACACATGAAAAATAAATGTTCGCGTTCATTATTGTTGTCGGTGGCACGCCCGGGAATTGTCAACGCTAAAAACAATCGCGATTCGCGAATAACAAACAATCGTACAGGCCGGTCCTCGGCCGCGGTTGCGTCGGGGGTTAGCCCCGACCACGGGATATTCAAAAGCCGGATCCGAAAAAAAAGGCCGCGTCGAATCACAATCGAGATATTTTTTTCGCCGCGTTGTGATTCGGACACAAATCACTACTGTTACATAGTTGTGGAAACGCCGATGCCCGTTGTACTCCGAAGCCGACGGGGGGGAGGGGGGTGGAATCGAGGGACATGACGCACGGGGGCGCACGCCGTCGCGCGTTTATCGGAGAAGTGCCGGACGAAATCCGTTCGGTACAGTGCCAAAAGCCGCTTTCCCGTCATGCAGTACGAAACCGTATATAGTTTCCGGGGCACTCGGTATCGCGTACGAAATAAAATATCGAATGTATTACTCATGCGACAGATATTGAATTCATACTAATATCTGTACGTTCGGCAACGCGACGTTTTTTTTTTTTCGGGAAATGCGTGTACGGAAAAACGACAAACGGTTCGGTTGAATCGCCGCGACGTTTCGCATTGTTATTGAATTTTCGCATGGGGGGAAATCGAAATGTCACCGACAGTCGGCGATCGAGTATATGTATACATACGAACGGACGTTTCCCAAGGACAACCGCGTTCCAATCGGGGCTGGACGAGGCCGACCGTTTTAGAATCGGATGCGTAGCGAGCGAGAAATGTATCGATTTTACAATGTTTTTTTATTTTCAGCTTTTTTCATCCTGTGAACGACATCGTCACGTACCAGAAATCTTGCTGTATGCAGCACCTATTTAGGAAAGGGAGATTTTATCTACTCTGCCCTTCGAGGGGGTCATTTGTTGATTTTCCTAGAGGCGTACACAATTAATTAGGGAACGCGGGAAAACGTACGCACACGTGTGTAAAAGAAACTTCGGTCCGAATCGTTTTTCGTCAGCAATACGATTGGCGTACGGATATAAATTAAATCCCCCCTCCCCGTATGTTTCCTCCCTGACTTTTCACCTACAACAGTGGCCCGCGCTAAAGTATTTCCGTTTTATCGTTTTTTTAATTCGTAAAATAATTCAGTATTCCGATACGGAGAATCTCAAAATACAGAAGAAATCAGTTTTAGAGTGTCTGACTTTTTTTCCCGTTACCGCGGTGTCTAACACGCTCCGTCATCGCGGGCTAAAACTCGGAGAATACGACCGGAAAAGGTCGTGACTCATTGCAGTATAAATCCGCGGCTACGATCGTACACGGACGCTACGCATTAGCTCGTCGCGTCGATATTTTTCACGATTCGTTGAAAACGCAAACAATTATCAATTGGAAAATTTCATTACAGTCCAACATAAGAAACGGTGTACGGAAACTATACGAAAATCGCTTTTAACCAATATGTGATTTTACGAAACTAACTCGGAGTTTTCGCGTTAAGTACACAAACAAAAAGAAATAGCCGATTCCGTTGAAAGTTTATCGGCGTAAAAACTAACTCGTCGATTAGCTTATAGTTAATATTAACTATTATTAACGATTCACGCGTTAACGCCCGGCCAAATGCGTTCGAACTGCGCGATATTTTTCTTCGTATTTGATGATATTTTTCTTTGGCCATCTCTCACTCTCACTCTCTCTCTCTCTTTCTCTCTTTCTCTCTTTCTCTCTTTCTTGTCGAGTGTCATTTCTCGTCGACCCGTTTCTATTTTCACGGCCCATTGTCCGACGCGTCCCGGGACCCAGCCGCTAATTGTCGTATACCTCCGAGCGGTTCTTGATTAATTCTCGGGTGCCCCCGCGACCGCAAGATTGATCGATTCCCGGCCGAACGCGGCGGCGGGGATATTCCTCTTCGCGCTCCGGTTTCGGACAAGAAAAATCTAACGCACACACCGCCACCGCCGTTTGTCCGTCAACACGATCCATCAACGTCCGGCGGTCCCCTCGCGCGAAAAAGCTTTATACCCACCGGGCGGGAGACGCGGACGGTCGCGCGGGAATATGATCGATAGTCTTCACGGTGCGCACCGCTTCCGCCGTCGCCCTCAGCGGACGCGATCGGAGGGGCGAAACCCCAACGCCCCGGGCCCGTGTTTCATCCCCCCCCCCGCGCGCGCGCATTTATATACAATGCCTAAACACCTATCCGGAATCGATTTTGTTGTGTACGCCGCGAAGAAGTCACTTTAATATACACGCGCCAACATATATCGGGCGCAGGTAACCGTAAAGCCCGCGCGCGAACCCTGCGCCGGTGACGTAGCCGCGCGAAATGCTCTCGCAATTACCGTTCCGCGCCCGTAACGAGATTCGTCCGACACGCGATACGCCACGGCGCACGCGGGGTGCGGAAACGAGACTGCGACCCCGCCGCCGCGAAGGGACTTAAACGGATTACGGGGGACAAATTTCGTTACAGTTTATAGTCGCCGTCATATCGCGCGCATAAAGTGCAGTAATCCCTTTGCTCGTAATAGGTGCGCGTACGCCCCGGCCGCGGCCACTTTCCCGTTACGTCGCTCGCGTAATCGGTTAACACGACAGCGACGAGGGTCCGTCTCGCCGGCATGATTTGTGCGCCTGCCCGTATATTATTGCCCGGAAAGGCGCTCGCAGGTCGGCGTAGGTAATATACGCGTGTGGGTTGTATGCGTGTTACGCGCGCGCCGGTGATAATTGTACGACGTACAAATCGCGCGAAACGAAAACCGAACACGACCGCTTGTTGGTTTTCCGTATTTGAAGAAAACCGCCGATTGGTGAATATTAATAGAATGGGCGTCGAACCGTATTGTGACGGGCAACACGATTTCGGGCTAGCTCGGGAAACACGCGTTTAACGGGAAAACGGTTAAAACGTTACACGACCTCACGGCTCGGACGCGTGTCACGCGATTGTACCGGTGGTGCGTACAGAATTCGACTCAATAAAATAGCTCGGCAATTCGGTAGACGAGTCGTGAGCGAGTCGGGGTGTGCGGAGAGCGTCTCCAGACCTTGGGACTACGGGCGGGAGGAGGGGGTGGGGTGGGGCGAAATAATTAAATTCAATATTAACGATTGATGAGAAAAAAGACGGACGTGCTTCGCACGATGGTCGGACCACTGTTATAGACGAGAAGTTGGGAAAGGTAGGGAATACCGAGGGGGAAATTTAATGTATATCTGTGTCTAAGCGAATTTAAACGCCGCCAAGAGAAAACGATTTTAGAGCGGAGCTCGGTTCATCGTATTGCGGTGATATTATTTTCTCGATAACTCGCCGGTCGAATCCGGGCTCGTCGACGGTTTTTTCTTTTCCACCAGACGGACTAAATCGCCCGTTTTAAAATATTATCCATACATCAATACACGTGACATAAAAATCTACCGAATTCGTCCGACACGACGATGCCAAACACGAACGGTCCGACAGTCTCGTGTTATTATTTACCGACGCCGCGATAAATGTGAAACTCGAGTCCCGAAAACGTAACCGCGCAGGGGAGTGCGTGCTCGACAACAAACGTCACGTCACGAAGAACAAACACACGCTGGATTTCTGAATATTGAACGCGGTTTTCTACGCCAGTGTTTCCCAACCCGTTGACGGCGCACAGGACGCCATCGGGGAAACGAAATTCTCCAACGTTTTTTTTTTTTTTTTTTATCAACGGCACACCCTCGGTGGCGGACGTCGGCTACGTGGTCACGCGCCGATTATCTCCGCCGTCTCGCGCGCTAACCGAACCACTTGAACCCGGGATCCGTTGTTCTCCCTCCCCACCCCCTCCCATCGACACGTTATTCGCGGTCTTCCGCGTCTCGTCAACGAACACAGTCGACTAGAGTTTAATAATATAATCGTACGCATTTGTCGTTTTAAAACACGTTTTCGCGCTGTTCGCGGCCCTACTGAGCGAGAGTTGACATTAAATACGTCCCCGCGGATCCGGTTTTCGATCCCGTTCGTTTCGGTACGAATTCGCATCGCGCACACAGACGACCGTACCTACCGGCCGCCATGGCGGAACAAACGACACGGTCCGCCTGGTCGAATATCCGGCCGAACCGATCCCGGCTAATCCCGAACCACCGCCCGCCGATTGGGCACCACTGGTCCGTCGACCGTACACGCACACGGCCGGTGAGAACCTATAATAATATTATAATAGGTCGGCGGCGGCCGGCGGTGCACTATGTATTAAGAGTAAGTGTGCGGCAGGCAGGCGGTATGAGCAGGACGGTTTGAAAAAAAAAAAAAAAAAAAACTTCAAAACTACTGCTGCTGCTGCTGCTACTGCGCGCTGTACGCGCGGAACAATCGACGACCCTATTCCCGAAACACCTCCGATTCTCGTATTATTATTATTATTATATTTTAGAAGAAATGCGCCGCCGACGGCTTTATTATATCGGGTAAAAACGACAAAAACCTATTTCCCTCCCCCCCCCCCCCGTACCTCCACCGTACCGTATAATAATTTTCGCGCCGTTTACACTTATCGGATTTCTTTTTCTTTTTTTTTTTTTTCAATTTCGTCCTTTAGTTTTATCGTTTTATATTATATTATTACGCGCGAGTCGACGGCGACTCACGCGAACCCGTGCGCAGTGTTTTCTCACTCTCTCTCTCTCTCTTTCTTTTTTTTTAATTCCCGCGCAGCCGGACGCGCGCGTTATTTCGACGGGGCGCGATAAAAGGGGCGCGACCCGGTACACAACGTATTTAACGCGCACGGTACGCGTACGCGCGGGCGTTGCTTGGAGGGCCGTACGAGAGGGGCAACAAGTGCGTTCACGCCGAATTAAAAACCCATCAATCGTCCGGGCCGACCGTAAAAACCGCCCGGATCTCGCACGCGCACGCGCCGACCGCAGTGCGTATTGTTATTTCGTGTGCGATAGAAAACTGTCGCCGTGAAAACTGCGCGCGCGCGGACCGTACGAGTATTTTACCGTACATGGATGACACGTACAGGCGGCTATAGGTGCGCGGTTTCGAGACGGACGCGTCGTGATGTGATAATACCAGAGTTTAGCGCGCGTAGTTCGGGTGGCGCGTGCGGGGAAACGGTTATAGAGCCGGTTACACGCCGAGCGGTTCGAACGCCGCGATTTTAAAACGCGGACGCGCTTCGCTCGGGCATTAGGCGCGTTTCACAGGGACGAAAGGCGATTTACCGAGTGTATCATATTTTACACCGAGACGAGACCGAAATACTTTTATCGTTTTACGTGATTTTCAGAAAACGCTGCACACGAGACGGGCGGGCCGCTGTAGCGGGTGAGAAGCGTGGGGAAAGTGGAGCGGAGTTCGGTCATACGTCATGTTTTTATAGGCCGTAACATGTACGATTTGAAAACAATTCAATTTTGGTAAATTTTCCCTACGTTTTATTTAATTTTTCACGAAAACCCCCGGGGAAATTTAAAAATGACCTTCTCACTCAAGGTGCCGACCCAGGAAATTTTCCTATCGGAATAAGGTTTCTGGCCAGAAAAAGTTGTCCAAAGATAGAAAAAAAAAAATAAATCAATCGTCTCGGTTCGATATATGTCAGTCGGTTGAATTAAACGCGAAATCAATATCGAAACGTAACAATATAATAACGGCGACGACCCCGTGACAACCGGATTAATTACTATTGTGTAAAACACGGTGCCCGGGCTCTTCACGGGCCCTGAAAAATCTAAGACCCCGAAGCGCGTGAAAAATGTATTCGAACGCGTCAAATACGACCGTACAATACGCGTTATTTATTCATAAGTCTGCTTGAGACCCACCATCAAAGTCGCGCCCGTCATAAAACTTCGACAATACGTGTGCGAGTTTTAGTATAAAAAAAAAATCGCATTACGCCTGTTATACGTGGTATTATTATAATTTAACAAAGGAAAGAAAGACAAATCTAGTGCCGAACTCGAACCGTCGTTCGTATAACGGATGAAAAAATATTTTTTTGTCGAAATTGTACTTTGAAACGGTTTTTTTCAGCCGCGGAAAAATCGCCCGGATCGTCAATCACAGTTTACGCCGCCGCCGTTGCCCGAATGGGCCCGAGTACGATATTTTCGCGAATGGACTTTTTTTTCCTTTTTTTTTTTTTTTTTTTATTATACGGGCTCGTTCCGAAAATTGAACGTGACGTTTAACCGGCTTTTTCGCGATGCCCAAACTGTACGGCCGCATAAAATGCCATCTGTATATACATCCGGCTATTAAACGATCGCGGTTATTATTTATTGTCTTTTCGCGACACGGAATGATCGTTAGGAATAAGAGCGCGCCGCGCGCCGTGATTTCCAATTTTCCAAACGAGACACGTTTACGGGACACGCTCCCCCGCGGACGTTTTGCGATACCGTCGTCGTTATGTGGCCGATATAACCGAGAAAAATCGTCCGACACGCATAATTGCCGCGTCGGCCGACCAATCGGAAAATAACCGTAAAAACTTAATTGCTTCATCGCATTGACGCGACGGAATATTATAACACACTGGTTTACACCGCCGGTTGCGGAAAAAGCCGTTCGACCAGCCAATATATTCGAGTATTCGGCCGCGGAAATAAAATACTAATCGAACGAAACACCGGGTGACATAAACGGTTCGGAAGTGTCCATCGCTAGCTGCTCGCGTCCGCGAATTACGATGTTGTACCGGAGGGTGCCGGACGACAGTCTGCCATCGATATTTTGGCGGTTCGAAAGTTCGGCAGGCGGGTCGGCTCGTGGCGCTAAACAGTTACGGCGGTTAAATGCCCGACACATTTTTTTACGATACACCGCCCGCCGGCACACGAAACGGCGCGAAATAATCGAGGCGACCGATCGGTTCATCGATCAATGTACGAAATCATAATTCTCATCAAACGGTACCGAATTGTATTGGCAGTCCGTCGGACGCCATCGTGGCGAAAAAACGCTATACCTAATAGTTATTCCGGGTTTCGGAAACTTCCGCGGTCTTCGGCCGATAAGCTCTCGTCGTTCGGCATCCTGTATGTCTCCTCATCCGTGGCATTCTAACGTTGTATTGAAAACTCGGACCGCGAGCCGCGTTGTTTTTAATTTGAAGTTTTCGTTCGCTACAATATCGATTACAACGCATACAGTCGGGTTTGATGGTACACGTCCGTATAATATATTGGTACACGGCGATGTTAAATTAAGTGGGTAAACATTTCTGAAATATTTATATACGAAAAACGAAAAACTTTTTCCTCGTTTTCCGCAGTATAATACTCTCTCGTAGTTACAAATAATCGTTAGACGTCAGATTTAAAGCATGAAATGCGTAGCTCAAGTTAAACAATTTAAAAGTTTCGTTTCTGTATTCGGGTATCGGTACCTGGGTACTTATTATATTAAATGTTATTACGTACGCAATAAAATAAAAATAAAAACGAGAGATTAAATAGGTTTTTATTTTACATATTTTACGCGTTAAATCGCGTAATTTTATAATATCATTATTGGTTTTCGTATTTTTTTCTTTTAAGTTTTAATACTTTGTGTTGGGGAGGGGGGGGGGGGCGCGCGACCGGAGATAAAATCAGAAATTCCCAAATGAACGTAGAACGCGTTTCGGGAATTATTCGATTTTAAAGAGTACATGTACAATCTCCGTCTTGCAAACGTGCGACGTAGACGATTTGGGTTCACAGCAGGCGCAAATGTGTGACGCTAGTTTTTGTCGATATTTTAATTTTTAAGCCGAATAGGTAAAACCACAATTTTGATACTTTACATACTCGTGTCGTCCCCGCCAAAAAATTAAAATATCGAAAAAATATGTGTCGCAGTTGCGCGGCTAATGTTCTTATCTTTAAATTCGATAATAGGTAAATGCACTGTTACATTAAAAACTAACAGCACAAAGTCGTCCGCGACGAACAACAAAATTTGCTATGCCGTACACGATTGTAGTAGAGAGCACGTAACGCGGATATCGAATCCTCTTAATTAATAAGAACCACAAGTCTTGAGTCGGGGCAAAATTTAATCGATAAACAATTGAAATATTTTACTGCGAAAAAAACTTAAATAATAAAAAGTTATTTTACAATAGTATTGTTGCTATTTGTACGGCAAAGTGGTTGAGAATATCAATTAAAATTGTTTTAAATTAGTTTCTGCAAACTAATTTCAAATTTAAAAGCCGCGTCAGGTACTTCTATCTATACACTACAAAAATATCTATCTATCAACGTACAGACGTTGAAAAAATTAACTTCGTTCGAAAACTTTCGCCAGGACGAAAACAATTTTAAGCTTTTAAGTAGGTAGAAGGTATAATAGTTTTAATTAATATTATTTATGAAATGTAATGTATAGTTGTAAACTACACAATAAGAGTAAATAAAATTTTAAATTTTTTTCTCCGCATATATCTTCACGGTGCAGGTACATAAAGACTATCGATTTTAAGATAATTCAATTTTAGATTTCGAATGGAGCGAGGAATGTATTGAATTTACGACGATGTTTATTTTATTTTTTTTTTTTTTAATCTGTACATTTTTCCGAAAGGAAACGCTCTCTGGGTTGTACATTGGAGAAGTCATTTTTCGAAATTCTTATTAATATCCGAAATAACGGATATAACGAATAAGGTTAAAAATGATTGAAAAATTAAAAATAAGATTGTCATTGGCAACAGTTTTTATTCATTTTTTGTTGTCATTAAGTTTTCACTGTTTTATAGAATCTTTTTTAAACAATCATTGTTGTAATGATAAAATATAAAACGATTCCGGAAAGGTGAAAAAAATAGCAACTAAATAATTTCGTATAATATACTCAAAACACTCTGAAGAGATATAACTAGTTTGTGAAAAAACAGTCACCCTGTATAGGTATAAATATGGTCGAATTCGGGGTAAGGACGAAACGTTTGTGGGTTACATTATCTTTCGATAATATTTAAACAATAACGATCGTCAAATAAACAATAAAATTTACGCGTGGTATAAGGGGATTTTTTTTTTTTTTTTATCATTCCGTCATAAACAAGCGGTCGGTATTAACTACGGAAACAAAATAACGAAAATATTCAGGGGGAATTCCGTTATCCGTGGTCCAGCGACTTTCTCGGTAAATTTGATTTTCGTTTTTTTTTTTTTTTTTTTTTTTTTTTTNGTATTAACTAAGGAAACAAAATAACGAAAATATTCAGGGGGAATTCCGTTATCCGTGGTCCAGCGACTTTCCTGGTAAATTTGATTTTCGTCTTTTTTTTTTATTTCTTTCGATCGCTGTCGACTCACCCCGCCTACGGCCAGAATCGCGCATAATTCGTTTTCGCTGGTGTACGAATTGTTTACTGTCGCGCGCGGACGAAACGCCGGCTACGATATTTTCCATTGTGACCGATCCGAAAACGGGTACGCTACACGCGCGCACGCGTACACGCGTATTGTGTACACCGACGATTTCGGAATTCATAATATTGTCTTAACGGGGTTTCCTCCGACCCACCCCCCGCCGCCCGCGGAGCCGGCCCGGTTAGTCCTGGCGGTCGTTACAACGTTGTGTACACGACTAACGATAAGTCGTAAACTATAAAATCCCCATAAAGATCCCTGTTAATGATGCCAATGACTTGACATATTTTATTGGACCGTTGTGTATACGCTATACGCACAATGCATGCGTATATAATATACACACGGCTAGACGGAGGGTCCCTTATTTTTTTTTTTTATCTGAAAAACAATAAACGAATAGAACGCCGCGCAACAGCAGCGATATAATTTCGGTGGAAAAAGCAGAAAGAAACGTAAGAAAAAAAAGATCCGATACTGCTGACGGGCGGTCCGCCGCCGACGTAGGTGTAATAAATCGATAATTTTTTTTTTTTTTTCTACGATTCAAATCTAATCTACGAAAGGACAAAAAAAACGATTCTACAAAAATCTACGATATTGTTTTTTTTTTTTTCTGTAATTAATCGACAGTCGACATTTAAAAACCGATACGGGCCGTATTGTAACGCCTCGTTGTTTTTATGAAACTAAAACAATTTGATTTACCCTTTTTTTTTCCCCGGTGTTTTTCTGACGTACTCGGGAGTTTATGACGTTCAGGTGCCGGTTGTGTGTTACGAATTTACGATCGTTGAAAAATATGTCGGCGCGGTGTACGACCCGAACACGGTGCGCGAATGCCTCGCGAAAAAAAGGCCAAAAACAACAACGGCGTCGCGCAAACGATATACGCCCGTAGGAAGGCGGGAGGGTCGTGGGATACGTACCCATAATAGAGTCATTTGATTTACGAACGGAGTTCGCGGTTAAACACCGTGCCATATGAAATGTCGCGATTTTCACGATTTTCGAAGGAAATTCAACGAAATCTCATTATAAAAAAAAAACCCACTACATATTACGCTCGACTTTATTTTGTTTAAATGAACCGCGCGTTAAATTCTCGGTCATTTTTGCCGAGCTACAGTAATATTTTTATCCCCGTAAAACCGACAAAAAAAACTAAAAACCTCCGAAACGCCCGTTTAATTAATGCCTACTATGAACAGCACGAAAATCTGAGATGAATTCTATTGCGTAGTTTTCTACGCGATTAATCAAATCGATTAATTCCAGCGAGTGCCGCGGGCAAAACGTAAAAATTACGGCGATAAAAACGCGACGGCGACGCGTGTCAAATAACGGAAAAAAAAAAGCCTCAACTGCTATGACGGTAAACCGTATCCACTGCATAGGAACTCGATGTACGAAAAAAACATCGGAAATCCGTGTGCATACATTTGTAAAGTGGTTCAACCGTTGATAAGCGACGCAATAATAATATCTTTGGCGACTGTGGTTTTTTTTTTCCGCTCGGTTTCCGGTGAGTGTGGAAAATTATAAAAATAACAATTGTCACGCGGGCAGCCGCGAGTGTATTGATAGACACGGTTATTGTCTTTTGATTTTTGTTTTTCTGTTTTATTTGTTATACAATAATATAAAGAGCCGTAAAATACGTCTCATCTCTTGTATATGGGCGCGTAGGATTTACGTATTTTGACGTTGTTTGAAAGGAAGGGGGTTTTTAAAAAAAAAAAAAAAAAATGTCACGGCCGTCTGCTGCAAACGACTAAACCCCGACGACACACCGTACGTACCGGAAAAACCGAGCCCTCTAAACTGACGACAACGACGTCAAAAGCAATAATTTCCACAAGGATTTCCATCGCAGTTTCCTTCCCGTCCGCCTCGTCGCGATCTCTTTATCCGTAAACCAATAACGCGCGCACAGTGCAGCCACGACGGAGTTCCCTGTCATCCATTGCAGTCAAACCCTGTTATTCTTCACCGGTCCTTTAATTAAATTAAAACCAACGGGCCTTAAAACGTAACGGGATTAACGGGACGCCGCGACTTATTATTGTAATTTGTTTTGGGTTTTTTTTTTTTTTTCTAGACGGTAGAATCGGGCGATTATTGAGTTTTCAAACGGAGTTCAAAAGTCAAATTTGAAATTGTACGCTTAGATACCGCCTAGATAAAGGGAATAGAGACACACAACTCGGCCAAAAAGTGGTTCGCTTCAAAGAGCGCACCCTGACGACATTTGTTCGTTTGATACAAATCATCAGTTCATTTTCATAATTTCGTCTTCGCGTCTATATGAAATGTTTGAGTTAAAACTAACTGAGCCATTTTGCACGGGTTGAGTATCAATAATTCCTTTATCTACGGTATGGCACGGCCGCTATAACGACTGCCAGTATGTATTATTGGAGTATTGCGGGCGTTTACCAATCGGTAATGGGAAATGGGTAAATCATAAACACGGGATGTCGTTATCGTAATGCGATAAGCAATAACAATCTACTTTTGTAAATTCAAACCGATTCACAAACAATCGACGTGGTATTCTTATTGGAAACGTTTGGATTTGAAAATGTTTTAGTTTTTATACATTCTTGTTATTATTTATTTTTTTATTCGATAATAAAACATTATTCGAGGAATGTAATGTACCTTCTTGTGTTGTGCCTATACCTCGGTACAAACATTTTAGTCGGGTACTCGAACTCGACTCAGGAATAACTGTACGCAACGGTTGTATCATTGCTAACGAAAAACTAGGAAAATAATACATTTCGTACATTTTCCCGGTTTTCCTACGTTTTTCCCATTTATTATTAAAACTACTTTCCTACTTTTCCGGTCCAAATGATAACTGTATCGTAGTTAGAAATAAAAGAAAAGAAAAAGTCACCCTTTATGGTTAAAAAGGAACCGCGAAAAGAAACTTCTTGCACATCATTCATATAATTTGGTACCTACCGATGCACAGAATGGTCGTAATGACACTTTGAAACCTGCAGAAACGAAACAAAACCGCGTATTTATACATCAACAAAAAAAAAAAACAAAAATTATTAATAATATATGAGAAATCCCTTTTAATCCCCTAAAAAATATCCCGGTTGATTAAGTTACAATAAGGACTCGAATGAATAATTATTATATGAATTTATACACAGACGGATTGTTCCCCTCGCGTCGCATCAATCGCCCAAAATATTACACTTAAAGATAATTAATTACCGTCGTATTGTATTTTACGTCAATATCGAATTTCGTCTTTCGAGTTGGAAAACCGTGGTTGGATTTCTTTTACTAAAAAAACATTAATTTTTTTTAATCATTTATTAAATTTATGGTTATTGTAACGAAAAACGCCCGTGAGCCGTAATTGCTTCGTTACCGGAGTCGAATTTAACAGCGAAGATGATATGCTTTTTACTATAAAACGATAGTGCGAACGATTGTTTTAGATTCTGAAGCGAACGAGTAATGTTTTGGTTTTATTATGATGTTTATTTTTTAAATATTTTTAACTGTGAACAACTTTTCTACCAGAAGTTTTGCTCCGATGTTTCCAATGTAGTACTCTTTCTGAAAGGAAATTTTATCCGGGTAGTATTTTTAGGAGATAATTTTGTCCAAGCGGTTTTCATAATAATTGGAAAACAACGGGAAACTTTACGAAATTACGTATTATATTCAATTATGTTTTTTTGTGGTGATTCAGTTAAAAATATTTGTAGAAACTTGACATTTGGACAGAAAACTTATATTTGCCTTTTCCAGACGTGGTAAAATGTTTAAAACATTACAGCAATTTTATGTTTTTAGCTATTTGTTGACATTTTAATTTTGCTAGTTTTTTACGTATCTACCTACCTAATTTCTGTTCGATGAACTACTCTGTGGACGCAATTATTTGACCAAACAGTGATGTTTTAAAATTTAACGAGAAGTTCATTAAAATCCGTACTTTGCGATTAGAAAAAAAAAAATTCTACATTACATTCGATTTTTTTTTTTTATAAGAATTTTAATTTTGACGATAATCGTAAATAACGCGGCCTTTCAAAACATGCATAACCGAATTTCGTTCAGAATCATTTTTCGTTGGTTACGATTAATCGTTGCGTACGGGCACGCATTGAATTCCCCTACGCACATCCTATACGTAACCTCCCCGACTTTTCGCCTACAACAGTGGCCCGCCCATCACCGTGCGGCGCGCGTCTTTTTCAAGTTGTGCACACAATGGTGTCATTAAAAAGCACCGCGGACCGTTTGACAATCGCGGAAAACGCTGTTAGGTTATATTTCCAAATATTTTTTCGGCAACAATATCCGATACGTTTGTGTAACCCTTTAAACCGTATTTATGACTTTTTATTTCTTTTTTTTTTCTCTTCCCGTGTCCATCTATCGCGGTGTCGACGTCAGGTCGGCGGTTTATTGAATTTTCGGCGTCCCTGCGTGTATCGACGGACAAAAACATCCAGCGATAAACCGCACACGTCAACGTACCGATAATAACGCGCGCTATTGCCGTTGCCGTCATCGACGACTGTTATTGCCGGGGAAAAATGTACGCGGACAAGTCGTCGGGATTGCGCGACGGAATTACGGGTAAATACCCGCCCGACCGACCGGTACAATAACAATAATTCGGCAGAATGTCGCGTTTATTTGTCGTGCAGAAAGAGCGCGGCGGTGTGCACGGGCCCGGTCCGTCGTCGGGAATGTTCTGCGAAACGCGCATCAGGACGCCGTGATAATATTACAATACGGCGAAGCCAATCGTCGCCCGTGCGATCGATGCGACGGCGTTGTGATATCATTTCCGTTGTTACCGTCGTCGACGCGTTTGGAAATAGTTCTCAGATTTTCCGTTCGCAGTTTTGCGGAAACGAACGCGTCTCGCGTTGGCGAGTGCACGATAACGCGACGATGTCGGCATTGTGATCGCTGCAAGTACCCGTCGAATTAATGAGCGGACGAGTTTGCACGGACGGATTAAAGACAATTCAGAGTCGAACCGTTCATAGCGTGCGTGTATTGCTATTCGAGGACGACGGCCGAAGTGCCCGGCTCCGTTTTACAAACGTGTACGTAGACGGGGGCGTACGGAAAATTCGCGTGGAGCGGGCGCACAAACATTAAGCCGCAATTGTTCAACACCAGAGCGAACCCCCGGCCGGGGGCACACTCGAATTTAATGGTACAAAGAAGAACACACAGCGTGCGCATGGGTTTTTGTTCCGACATTTTGTTTTTTGTAAATCTCGCGGTCGTCCAAGCAAAACGAGTCCGATCCCCAACATTCGAAAACCGCCGAACGGCGATCGGTAGACTGTCGAATTTTCACTAATCGTCGCGGCGATCATTTCCCTTTATCGCGTCGACGGTGCCTATATCCGCCACCGACACAATATATAATTGGATTTTACTCCGACGACAAATAGACGGTGGCTAAACCGGAGGAATATACCGCTACGGAGGGCCGGTCGCCAATCCCCCCCAAAAATCGTGTATATTATTACGAAAACCGAGAACTTTGACGTGGCCGTGCAGACAGGCATGCCTACTCCGGGTGGTCACGTCGGTCAAAACAGATTTCACCGTCACGACTTGTCAAAAAAAAAAAAAACAAAACAAAACAAACGACTGACGCCGCGGACACGGTAAACAATAATTGGCCCGTTCAGTTATTACTGTTTCTTACTTCATACTCGAATCGCAATTCGCCCGTCGAAACGTTACGTTTTCGGGGCAGGGGGCTGTGCAGATTGTGGGTAGTTTCTTTTACGTCGGCACTGAAATCCGCGCGTCTATGTTTACCGCTTTGCCGAATTACGCTACAACGCGCGACAAACCGCCTCCCCTTCCTACCCCCCCCGATCTAGAACGAATAACAATAATAATAACAATAGAGGCACTCACAGTCGCTGGACAAATTCGTCTCCTCGTCCGTGAACGTGTTGGACGCCCGGCTGTCGCACGACAACAGCTGCAGGACCGTCGCCACGGCCAACAGCGTGGCGCACCGGCACGACGCGTTCCGCCGTCGCCGACGCATCGTCCCGCGAAACAAACCGCGCCGGGTTCCCCAACGACAATTGTTGTTGTTGTCGGAGGCCGCGTAATTTCCTCGTCGGACCGTCAAAATTAGTTTTCGGAAAAATTAGTAAAAAAAAAAAAAAAAACAACCCGCGCGCACGCCGACCGTAACGACGCAACACCGCGATAAAAACCCGAACGGACAACGTGCGACCGCGACCGTGTCGCGCGCGTATTCGACTGAGGCGGCGGCGGCGGCGGACGACGGACCGGCCCCCGTCTCCTCGGCCCGCTCCGAGACGGACCCCCCGCCGCCGACGACGGGCCGCCTCCCATCCGCCCGCCCCGCCGGTCGCACGACGTCTACCCGCTGTCCGCACGCACGTTACAATTGTTATTATTATACGTACACGTGACACGCGGATACATACGATGTGTCCGCAACAGCAGCGTTCCTCCGGCGACCCATCGGTCAATTTCGGCCTTTCGGGCGGCGGTTTTCGTTCGAAAATCAACGCAGTCGTTATTCGCCGTACTGCGGTGCTCGGAACGGAAAAAATAAAACAACCGTGACCGCGGGATTTGAAAATGAAAATCCCTCGTTGAACCGAACCCGACCGGCGAGAGACTTGCGACGCTTTTATCAGGGAGATAAGTAATAGAATCGAACACCAACATATTTACACAATTGCATTTGAAATGTCGGCCGGGGCTGCAGATGCCCCGTCTTGTCCCCAACCCTCCGGGCGCCCACGCCTAACAATGTATAATTATCCCGGACAAGAAGAAGACGACCGATAATACCCCCGTGAGCCATGTTTTTGCTCGGGTATTTATTTATTTTACGAACGCTGCTATACTATGTACTGTATCAATGATATTATAACATGCAATTTAAAATTAAAATGTATAAAACTGAAATCATCCAAGTCGATAATAAATGTTTTTTTTTTTTTCTTAATTATTATTATTTGCAAATAGAAATGTACCTGTTTGCATATCGTGTATACAAAAACGTTCAATTTTGGATATTTTGTATTTAAAATATGTAGAAATGCATAGTTATTTTAAACCGCCGAGTGGTCCAAGTTTAAGATATGCGCAGAACTATAAGGAAATTGTAAATGTTGTCTTTTTGGAGCGACGAAAACGTTATAATATGCTTCTACTGAACAGTTACTATTTTGAAGTTAGGAAAATTCGAAATGAGGTCGACGGTATTTTTTTATTTACTGTATACAAGCAAGGTAGATGTATGAAATGACCTGTTACACGAATGTCCAAAGGCCCAAAGGTCGAGATAACCGTTGATCTACTAAACTGCGATGCAATCTACTTTTACTACGTCACATTGCAAGTTACAATTCCCAAAGCCCCGAAGGTCAAAAATCGCTGAAAATCTACTACACTGCAATCTAAATCTGCCAGTGGCTTGTTTTTCAGAAGCACGGCACATTGATTCTGGATTTTGATGGGGTGGTACGTGGGTCCTTAATAGGTCACTTACACACTTGTTGGTAGATAGTGACCGGGGGCGTGAATGGGTATTCCGCGGCACAGTTGGTCACTTCATTGGGTGGGTGCACGATTATGTGTGGGTGTACTTTTTCATTAGATGTGTATTCTCGTTGACGCATCTACATGTACAGGAAAGTCTTATTATAGCCACAGCTCCTGGTTGTTCTGGTAGTGGTTTCAGGTTGGTGTGAGATTATTCGTAATTATATAGACTGAAACTACTTCATAGAAAAAAACAAACTTCGCGTCTCCGCTGTCGGTAAGCATGTCGGAAGATAGCATAATATTACACGTTACTATATATACAGTTTACATTTGTATTTTTAGTATAAATCACTGAGTTAGGGCGGGTGATGTGTCGTTATAATAAAAACCGTTTGCTCCTATATTATTTGAAGTTTCTGACGCCATCACAGCCATTCACGGGCTTTTATTATACCGCTTCGCGGTTATAATAACAATTTCCTATGTATTATTATTATCATAGTGTAATTAATTATCTGTGTCACCACAGCGCAGGTCGTGTCGGTAGTTTTTTTTTTGTTTGCGACATCTGTAGACGTATCCTACCGGCATTTTTCTCGCAGTACTTCAATCACAACGATACAAGAGGTTTTGATTTTTTCCCTTCATATTTTCATACGGAAATCTTTGTATATTTATAATAATGTATAGAATTTCTCGCCCTGGTGTCAGGACGAATGAATATTATTATTATTATTATATTATTCCGTTGTCGTTTTTATCGTTCGTCCCGGACGACGGATTTACGACTCCAGCGACCCGAGATGTGTGTGTGTGTGTGTGTGTGTGTGTGTGTGTGTGATTTGTGAGTTTGACCGTCTGCTGCCGTCTACTGACAACTGTACCAGGGGTTTAAAGAAATACCTAATAATATAATAATAACAACGAATTACACACGTTTTATAATATTATAAATAAAAAGGAAAAACGTCGGAGCGTACGAGCATAATAATACGCAGAGTGACAGTTGTTTTTTTCTTAAATAATATATACATAACGAAATGGTAGACGTTTGAGGGGGTGGGGGCGCCCGGTTATAATACTTCTATAATATGAATACGACGTTTTGTTTTTTCTCTTTATGCGTTCAGTGTGCGTCACGACAGCATGAAGTTTTGTGGCATCAAATTTTGTTTTTACGTTCCCCCAAAAAAACGCGATGAGATATAGAGACGCGATAACGTTTTATAGGCACCCAGTAATACGACTGTTATCGTCGATCGTTTCGGTAATACGACACACTACGGATTGCATCGCACTATAGGTAGGGTTTTTTCTGGGAAAATCAAAATTCTGATATTGTCGTCGATTCTTAACATTTTTATGACCGTCTGCGGTAGATAAGTACGATGATATAGGTACGTACTATTTATAATATTAAAGTCGAATCGTAGACGAGTACAACAATATTATTTTCGAATATTTTGTAATAAAATTAAAATATGACTTGTACATATAGTATACAAAAAACTAAAACCTAGTATTTTTTTTTATAAAAAAGTTCTCAGGGTTAGTTTGCGTAACTATAATTTTACTACAAAAATTACTAAATTATCACTAAACTTTTTTCTCCTCGCCCAGCTGTTTCCGGTCCCTTTTACACTTACCTGGTCCGTTCTTACTGGAATGTGGTGTCCATTGCCAAGGACTAACTTAGACTTGAAAGTGTACGGAATAAATGTTTAATCCACGCTGCCTTTGTTCCCAAGCTTCCTTACCAACGCTATGGCTATACGCACATCCGTACCGTTTTAAACATCCCTTCTCTTCACTCCTACCGCTTTAAACCGGATCATGACTTCATATCTGCTATTCTAGGTGCACGTTCCTGACTTACTTGAATCGATTTCCTTCAGAGTTCTTTCCTATAAATACTCGTAATCGCAATCTGTGTGCAATACCAATTCACTCTATTTCCTATGGTCATCAATTGATCTTCATCCCACTCTACGCTCCTTTCCCTCACAATAAACATTTTCTATTCTTTCCTTCATTGACCCTACTTAATTGTATTTACTATATCTGTATGTTATTTACATATGTAACTTCACGGAAAATACCCGCAGGCGTAAATTTTTGAAATAAAATAAATAAAAGTAAATAAAAAAAGAAAGTTTTTTTAAACTAAATTACCTTAAATATCATACACGTATCGACAACAGCTATAGTGGCTTACTCATTGTGGTGCGAATTACGGCCAACTTTTATACACTACATTATACAGGGTCTTTTAAATTTCATATTACAGTCAAATTTTCCTTGAATTGATTATTTTTTCAATAAATTGCTAATTTAAAAAAAATAATGTGTAATTATAAAATAGTTCTAAAATACTGTCCTTTTTTTTGCCACCCTTATTTTTTGGCATGATAATAATATATAATATATAATAATAATATACAGAGTGACCTATATTTAAAATTACAAAAATATACGGAGAATTAGTTTAAATACATTTCGGTGTGGATATTTTTGATTCTATTTTTAAGTTGAAGTAGAGTGCCGCCGTACAAATGATGCTCCACTACTACTAAGAGTAAGAATACTATATCCTTAAAGAACCTTAAAGTATAATAGATTGCCAACGGATTGATGGAAATCAAAAACATTCAACACCGAAATGTGTTGTTATTATTATTGGACATTTTGACTAAAACATGCAATTTGAAAGACCCTGTACAGCTATTATGTGGCGGTCAGTAAATTAAGATTCACGACTAATGCGTTTCGCGAAATTAAAATAATACCTACTTTTTAAATAATGTTCTTTTAATTAAAAATAAAATTAATCGTTGTGTATTTGTTTCTGTTTTTACCCGACTGCAGCACACGCAAATCCAGAACGGGTACCATGTTTATTTATGCGCGGGTGACGCGTGTCGCGCGAAGTAAGAAATATTACAATAATTTGTCGTAAAAAAGGTTACGAAAAAAAACTGCTCTGAGGTTAATACCTACTATAATATAATATTTGTTAGCCGAGTAAAAAAAATAAATAAAAAATATAAATTACGATACACGATCAAATTATCATAGATATTGTTATTTTTGAGAAACCCTTCGAAAAATTGACTTGCGGTTAAAAAAACCCACGCCGTTTATAAAAAGTATTTTCAGTATACAGATTCGTTACGATAACATTTTAATACCACTACCCGGTACATACCCAGTACCCACTTACAAAATATTTTATGTTTTAAGTACGTATATTTCTTTATTTTATAAAAATATTGTACGCGTAATAAAACCGAGTGGAACGAAAATTTGCATTGAGCCTTTTTGAATTAATAATAATTGTTATTAACAAACTTTACTTTTTGCATCATCGTCATTAATATTGCACGAAATAAAACTTGAAAATTACGACTGAAATATTTAACACTGGCATTGTAAAAGTAATAATGTTATAGCGTTATAAATTATAATCGAGATTATAATAGACCCGCTATCTAGTAAAACAATTACAGTGAAAATTCTTTATAACGAATCTTAAGAGACCAAGAGATTTCTTTCGTTGCACAGAGTTTTCGCATTAGAGAAGGTTAAAGAACTAATGTATGGATTACAAAGCAAACAGACCGATATTAAGTAATTGTTACCTACATACATAGAGTTTTTCGTTATAAAAAGTTTTTACTGTATACAATAATATTAAGTAAAATTGATGGGTATATTTCAATTAGGT